TACTACAAAAAGACTTTGATTTAAAATATCTCTTTTAAAAATAATATAAATTATCTAAAAATAGTTATTGACACTACTTCTCTTTTGATGCAATTTTAATCTAATTTAATTTTTTGTTGAAAAACTTTAATACTTTTAAATTATTGTTACTTAGCTACTCTTCATTTTTTATATTAACTGACGATTTTTTAATGTAAATTTTATGATGGGGCTTGATGATAAGACTTCTGCTTGCTCCAGTTCTCTTATTTATTAACACGATTTATTTCATTGTAAATTTTAATATATGACAAACTCTTTGCTTAATTCAAGAAAGATATCATTACTTTTTAAAATCGCGCTTGCAAACTGATCAATTAGATTTTCAAAGTATCTTCAAATGATTGGTGGCAGATTTTTTATTGTTTGCGTTAACTTGACATCTGAGCTGTGAAAACTTTACTTAAAGAGTCAGTCAATATCTGTGAGGAAGATGTTACAAAAGAAAGTTGTAATATATCTTTACTTAAATTACTTGAAGATAAATTGTAAGAAATTTTACCATTAAAATATTAAAGAATGGAATTTAGACTCAGAGAGCTTTGATGTTGCTACTGTTATTTCTGGTTATGTTGTTAAAAAGTTTAATAAAAAGATTAAATGTAGTATTTGGAAGTCCTTTTTATTAGAAATTGTGCTAAATCTGAATCTATTAGCGAGTCTGTTGAGGTACAATGCCGTTATTTAGAAAAACTTTCTAAAGAAATAATTTACCAAATTTTAATAATCTCACACATTATGTTGCAAAAGCATTTTATTTTTAATTAAATATTGTCTTTTTGCTTTTAACTCTAGGCTAACCTCTTTGTGATTGACCTTTGGGATTGATATGCTGTCCTTTGTGATCGATTTGCTGCGGAACGGACATTTCAATCAAATGATTATGCTACTTTATTCTTATGCAATAAACATCAAACTATTGGTGTAAAATTTGTAAATCGTATTTTTACACATATTAATTTTAACAATGAACTAAAACAATTTTCTGATGAAATTTAAAAAAACGGTGTAAAGGATTTTAAGTGCAGACAAAAAAAAAGAAGTTGAATTTAGTTGAACTAATCAATCAGGCTGAACTGAATTGGAGTAATCAATCCTAATTTATACTGCTGAATTATCACACCTTTAATGTATGTTTTTCCTTAATTGTTAGGTTTTTGTTTATCATTTTATATATCTTGTTAATAATATTGAAATGTTATTTTTGAGAAGTATATTTGTTATACATACAATATGAAACACATATTTATGTTAATAAAGTTATTACAAATTTTGATATTTTATTATTTAAAATAAAGTTATTACAATTTAAATTATAGTTTTAATTGCGGTAAGTGTGGCCAATCAAGCTAGACAGTATATATATTTATGTTTTGAAAAGTTACCCTTCTAATTTTTTGCTCCGAAAGGGAAGATATCTTGCCATGTAACTATAGTAGGCCATGGTTGAAATAAGATTCTCAATTTGGAAAGATATACACGGTACACGGTTTTGATTTGAGTTTTGTATACACGGTTTTGATTTGAGTTACGATATACGGTTTTGATTTGAGTTTTATTATAGATAGCCCTTCTACTATACACTACGATACACGATACGATACACTATGATACTTATGCAATACACTACATTCTACGATATACACTACGATATACAATACGATACACGATATACGATATACACTACGATACGATACTACGATATACGATATACACTACAAATACACTACGATACTACGATACACTACGATACACGGTTTTGATTTGAGTTTTTATTATAGATAGCCCAATACTTTCACCTATTTTTCAATCCTCTTGAGAAACCGTCATACATAGGATAGATTTTTGAAAAATTTCTTCGTTTGACAAATTTGCAGACAATCTCAATTTAACAGAATGCGGAAGTAGATATATAATACTGGGTTGATGGTTTGAAATGGTGTTAACATAGTTTAAAGAATTTTTGGGTTATAATAAGGTATTAAATGGAATTAGAAAATGTGGTTGTTAAGATTAAATGTTATACCAAAGTAATTTAAAATTTTTATGTTACTCTGTATTGATATAATAAAAAATCGTTTCTTCTGAATATATCGAGATTTTGATTTATTTCATTTTAGGACCACTTATGCCTTTAAATACTGCTAAACCATTATCACAGAATATCTTAAAATTGTTTGTATTATAAAATAGTGTGAAACAAACGAAATATGAAACAAGAAAAAAGTCGATTTGTAAGAATTTTAATTTATAATTTTTTTAATAACTGCAATGCATTGATAAATAGACCTGCTCTTTATAAAACACGCTACAATCTTGTTTACACTTCTATAAATAAATCATACTTTTAAGTGAAGCACCTTTTAAAATTAGATATGTTAATTTTATAAAATCATTTAAGATTTTCGAATATAATGATTGCTAATCATTTAACATTTCAAATATATATTTTCGTTTATTTTAACATTGCATATTTTGATCACGTAAATAAAATAATAGAACATTTTTTTAAGTTTTTTAATATTCTGAAAGCCAATTCTTTGACAAAAAAAACATTTTTTATTTTATTCTTTTTTTAATTGATCATGATGCATTCGTTATTTTACGCTTAGTTACATAGCTGTTTTTAACTCAGTCGCGAAAAGGTTAAATAAAGCAAGTGTAATTAAGTATAAGTGCAGTATAAAAAAATTCCATCGAGCTCAGTTAAATACTGCACATTACAGAAACTGCATGCTTATTTTTCACAAAATTTAAACAAGATTAAAGAATAAAAATAATGTTTTATTTTTAAGTTTAGCTTGATTCAAACTTTTGAAAAGCAAACATATTACTTCAGACTAACGATTCGTATCTTTTATCATGACATCTATATGAAGTGGTATTAATAAAAATAAAAGTAAAAACGTTTTTCATTTAACGCCTATATTAACGTTTGACGCTTATTTTACTCAGATACGCAAAAATGAGATCTTCTTTCTGTTTCTGTTGTTGTTTATACTCTGCAGGACTTAAATTAAGTGCTAAAACTGCTAAAAAATGTTAAACTAATGACGTCAAAAATTTACATACTACCTCTACTTTACAAAATGAAAACTTTATAAAGCTGCTTCAAAATTTCAAAGCTTTATATTTTTTAAAATATATATGCGAAAGAATAGACTAATAGCGATTTCTATAAAAATTAATTAACGTTCTAAATAAATTCTACAGAATTTTTATAGGCCAAAAGGTTTAGATGTCTATAAAAACTCTAAAAAACTCTTTTTAATTGTTCTTTTAACATTAGTGTGACATTGGGTTTTATACGTCTTAAACACTTTTTGACGGTTTATCAATATATTAAAAAATCTGTTAACTGGGCTCTCTAAATCTTCAAAACCTATATTTTATATTTGTACATTTTTTTTCTTCTTAAAAAACAGTATAACAATCTTCAAATAAAATAGAGATTCATTATCAGATTCATAAAATCTTAAAATTTTGTCTAAATATTTTAGGCATACTAATTAAATTAGCATTACTTATAATAATTTTAACAATTTTTCCTTTTATTTTTTTGCAGGTCTTATTTTATGTCTTTTTTTTTTTAATAATTTGTTAAAAAAAAAAAAAATTCCATCTAGTTTTCGACAAAGCCGTTGAGTGCTCTTGCCACAGATTTTAGGTCTAATTCTTAAAATTTTATCTATAGATATTTTAGACTTAGTTTAAACATAATAACCGAATGATTTGAATCTGTATCACTACTATTCTGAAATATAGGGGAAAGCAGGGCAACATGGCGATTGGGGCAAGATGGGTTTTCATATAACAACTCAACAAAAAATCTCAATATTGGGTGAAAACGAAACTGTATTTGCATTTTGTATTTTAAAACACCAATTTGTTTTTTAAAATATAATTAATGCAATTTTATACGCATAATTAATGCAATTTTATACGCATAAGTTTACTTTTTGCACTTAAAAAAAAATTCCTCACTTTCGGTTTCTCATAATGGATGCTTTTCTTCAAGTTTAACTTCCTTAGAAATAGTTTTTGTGATTTGTGTTTATTTTTTGTTACTTTAGTTAGATTAGTTACTTTTGTTACTTTAGTTAGTTTATTGGTATTTTTTTAAATTCTTTAAAATTGGAGGTAAAAATTGCATAATAACTCATCTTACCCCGGTCACGTGACAAGATGACAAATTTATGAACTTTTTATTTTTATATTTATTTCAAATTGTTATATTTGCAAATGGAAAATTCATGCAGGTAATGAATCATTTTAATAACATAAACATACTCAGAAAGTATTATTGCTTCACGACTGATAGTTTTGCAATAACTCATGGCTTTCCAAACGTTCGCCATGTTGCCCCGCTTTCCCCTACTAATTATTAATTTGCAATACACTAATTATAAATTTGTAATTTCTTAAATGAACATAGCTGTTTTTTCAAAAATTAAATGGAATTTTAGAAACATTTAAAACAGTTTTGCCTTATCGTCATAAATTCAGCAAGTATTTTTAATTTGTTAACTGGTGCGCCTCACTTCATTACTCCGCCTTTTTCCCATTTCATTTCCTTAGTTTGTCGCACAAGAAATTGTTTGTTTTGCAAACAGTCTATTTGCTAAAACATTTAAAAAAAGGTCTGATCAAATCGGCTAAGTGAAAAAAAAAAGCAATTGCTTTTACTCATTAATTGGTCAGTTTTAGGTGAAAAACTTCAGCAGTTTTTTTTTTATTCACGTGAAGTTTACTTAGTAATTGCTCAGCTTTACGTGATTAAAAACTTAACAAAAATTTTTAAAATTTTTATTTACGTAAAACTATATTTTATTTACCCGGCCTAACGCCTTAATTACCGGGAACAAGTTTATAAGGAAAACTGAGATTTAATCACGTGTCAAAACATAGACTAGTATAACACGCGGTTATCAATAACATCGAGTTTATTTTAGAATTAAATCAATGCTTTCCTGAAAGGTAAGTTTGATTTTCATAATGATCAGTTATATTTTTTTATGAATATTTTTTTAAAAATATCTGATTTATGTTTATTATAAAATATTGTATTTCTTTGTTTATTTAGTGTTATATAATTATTATATAGTTAAAAATATTTATACAAGTTTACACAGGATGCCTTCACCAGAAGAAATTTTGGTGCTTGGTGAAATTCTCCGTTTAAAAATACACAAAGCTAAACATTTAGTTAAATCATGCAAAAATGATATGGGGACTTTTCCATATTCATTCGTTGGACATGAAGTTGTAGAATGGCTTGTAAAAAATGATGAAGTTCAAAACAAAGATGTTGGCATCACAGCTATGAGAATTCTCCAAGAAAATGGAATTTTGCATCATGGTATATCATTAATTCAGTTAATTTAATCGAGTTATTTATAAAGATACAATTTTTTCATAATAAAAGTTGATTTACTTTTTGCATTAATTTAAATGTTAAAATGTTAAATTTTTTTACTCAATAAAAAGTTATTGTTAATAAAATTAATTCACTACATTATGTACTATACTAAATATTGAAAAATTTAATTTTTCTAAATTAGAGAAAAAGATATGTGAGGAGATAGCTTTAAGTTTTTCATTGCTTATACCTATCTAAAAATATAACTTTTATTTTTAAATCTGGAGACAAATGAATAAACTATAATTTATGATATTTATATAAAATTTGTGCTCATGATGATGTAACTACATCATGCAAACAGATTTTCAATTAGTTATTTATCTTATGTAATTGCGCTAATTAAATTAAAAAATTAATTTTATAAAATTAAAAAAAAACAAAAAACATTCTTCAATTAAAGTGCTGTAATACAATTAGTACTTATTAAAATAAATATGTAGTTAACATGAAATATTATTAAACTAAATATCTAGTTAACAAAAATTTGAAACAGTATTTGGAAAAACCCAGATTAAAACATAGATATCAATTAAATTTTAAAAATCATATAGTTTAGTTTTTTTTAAGCAACTGTTACATAAATTCTAGTTTGTCTCTGAATATGCGAAACAAACTAGAATTTTGTAAAATTGCCACAAGTTGAATATAATTTAAATTGATAAGCAATTTCTAGCAAAAAATTGACAGAAAATTAGAATTTATTGCTTAAATGTTATCGGAAGCACCTTTCATAATTTTTATGAACTGTTTTCTTAACATTCTATTTTTCTTCCATAAATTAATAAAGGTGCATACCTAGTGACTTTGATATGATCCAAGTTTTTTGTATACCTATTAACTAATTTAAATTTAAAGCTTAATTGACACGCGTTACTTTTTTGATCCTTTTACTTTATTAATTTTTTAACAAAAAATATTATAAACTTGATGTTGCAGTATTTGTAGAGTGTTTAATTAAAATAGTTTTTGGCATAATTTTTGAGAATTCTCTGAGTTTTATATGCTCTAAAATTTTGATTGATAAGCAAGAAACTAAATTTTTATTATAGTTTTTAACTAAGTCATTAGTATATGAAAAAAATTCATTCTTTAAAGCCTTTTATATTACAAGTGTTCAGTAACTTAAAAAGTTAGAATTACCTTGAGTGTGTTGAATAGTAGAATCAATAGTTTAAAACATCAAAATATATTTGGTATTTTTATTAAGTCTTTACTCCCATCTGATTTCTTGATTATAAATGGAACTAGCAATGTCTTATTTTTGTAATCTGCTTGGTTATTATTATTTAATAATACAATGATTTTGACTACATCTTGAGAAGTTTCCTACAAAATACACTAAGAAAATCATTAACAGCAACGAAGAATATAACTCAAAGAATATATGTAAAAAAGTTTACAACCATAAGCTGGTTTTTGTAATTTATCTTTAAGAAATAAAAAATTTTCAAGATTCTTTTAATGATCAACAACAAAATATTTTGACTACCAGGAGTTTGGGCATTAATATAATTAATATAATTTTTTAAAATTTAATCAAAATTTCTTGCTTAAATAAAATTTGTATACTTCAGTTTTACATTTAGTTTGTGACGATCATCTTTTTAACAATGATAGCTGCTTTTATCGTTTTCGAATTGATGATGGCACATTTTTTGTAGATTCCAAATATATTTACTATCATCAAGGAATAGTCATACATGATCGGTTAGCATAATTTACTTTGTTCATTTTTTTTTAAATCCACGTTTATTATAATATTGTTATTTTGATTTTTCTTTTATTGTGTAGTGAAAAATGAGACAAAGTTATTTTTTGTTTTTGGTTTGTAGAATCTTAGCAGATAAAGAAAAGTTTTTACAAAATTACACCTCCGATGATTTAAGTGTTACTGAAAACTGTTTTAAAGGTTCAATGTTGGTTCAATGGTTGATTTTAAATAATGTTGATACTGAGTTGTCAGCCATCAGATTGTGTCAGGCGTGGCTGAATATTCTTATAATTAAATCTGGTACATTTTAAAAATTGTTTATAATTTCCTGCTATTGTTTACAATTCTCCTGCTATTGGCACTATGTACTCCAGTACAACCTGTACAACCTGTTTCATATTTTCATAATCTAAAATTCATAATCTCTCTGTTAATGTTAATAAACTGTTAATTGAAAATATTTTTCTTTATAAATAAAGTTTAAAAAAATGTTTTGTTTTCATATTTATTTTGTTTTTAGACATTCAAATATTTAAAAACTCATTACTTAAAAAAAAAAAAATATTAAACTTAAGTTTAACAGAGTGAAGTGAATAGTGACTGTTCATTTTGATTAAAAAAAAAAATTATCTTTTACTTTTTTCACAAATAATATAGAGTATTACAGAAAAAAATACCTTTTTATAGTGTTCACCGAATCTACTGAATTCAACAATGATGGTACATTATACCAGTTTGTGTTTGATTTAAAATCTCCAACAAAGTTGAGAGAGTCATTAAACTTATATGCTGAACGTGATAATAACTCAAGAAAAAGCTTTACTGAAATCAATAATACTAGGAATCTTATCACAATATGGGCAGGTAATATCAGAATATGGGCAGGTAATATGATATAGGCAAGTCTTACATTATTATCAATATGGACGGGTACTATAATATGTCTACAAGAATATGCCTAAATAGTACAATAATATTTCTACAAGAAATTGTCAAAAATAATCTTATTTTTGTATTATATTTAGGATTTAACAACAATAAAGCGCATACCAATATTCCTGGCAAAAAAAATGATGCTTGTTCTATAAGTTTGAATGAACCTGCTACTCCTATTCAACCAGGTGCAGTTTACAAAGTTGATATTTTTATAATCTGAATTTTCATAAAAGTATAAATTTAGATTTAGTTAATCACAGATCTAGATTTATTTTTTAATTTTTGTATTATTTTATCAATCAGATTTTTTAATGAAGAATTCTTTTTTCCTATTGTTTTTCATATTATTTTATTTATTTATGGCATTTGAGCTTAAAAAGGATCTCACTTCTGCTACAGCACAGGGCTTTCAGTGGCAGGTGAACTTTAACTCAGATAAAACTCAATTTTTTTCAGCCAATTGTTAACTCTTTTGATCTTGGTAATCATATATAAAATCCATTCCAAAATTAGCATCTGCTAAGGTTGCATCTAGGTTGCATCTAGGTTGCATCTCTTTATCATGCTTGCCACTTTTTTACTCCAGATTTTATCCTTTATCTCTCTAAACCATCCTTGTATGGAATACTGGAGCGGATTTTCAAATGATGCCCTTTTTATTTTAGACAAGGTGCAAAAACGCATTGTAAACATAGTTGGACTTACTCTTGCAGCAAACCTTCAACCATTGTCACATTGTTGTAATGTTGCTTCTCTTTCTCTTTTCTATAAATACTATAATAGGCGCTGTTCTAAAGAGCGTCTCTTATGCTATCTATTGAAATTTATTCTTATTTTACTCATCGTTCAATTAAGTCTCATCCTTTTACTGTTCCTAAGCGCTCCAAAAATTCTTTTTTGATTAGTTTTTTTCTTCAAATATCAATTCTTTGGAATTTGCTACCTTTATCTTGTTTTACTGATTCATATAAATTGCAATCTTTAAATTTGTCTGTTAATCGTTATCTTGCTCTATAAACTTCATCTTTTCCTTTAACTATTTCTTTTTAGATATGAAGGTGTTCATATCTAACAAGATATAGTTAAAGGTTGGAGGAGCTTCTAAACTTTAAATGATAACCTTCTTTTTATCACAATTAAAGTTTGCCAGAAGTGCATCTGGTTGTAAGAAATTAATTTAACAAATAAAGTTGTGATAATAGTTAATTTGTCAAATTAGTTAATTTAATAAGAAAATAGTTAATTTTTAATTTAGTTAAAAAAAGTGTTGATAAGAAAAGCGACATTATGGAAAAAATTTAAATCACACAAATGTAAAACATTAGGCGTTAAACTTAAAGTTCAACTAAAAAGTTATTCATCATTTAAGAATTTAAGAATATTAAATGTATTTATTTTAGCTGTGTTGCGAGATATGACAAGTGAAGAGCTTCTCAGCAGTGAAAGTACATATTCATGGCAAAATATTAGAGTTAGTTGTTTACATAATCTTTATGTAATTTTTGAAATTTTTTTATATGCTTAACATAACAAAAAAAAAAAGCAAAGAAACATAACCATTATTCAATACCTAATTATTTTAATTAAAATAATTAAATTATTTTAAAACCCACAAAATCATCTTAATTGGTTATATATCAAATATTTTTTTGTCCATTTTCAAGTCCAAAATTTTTATTTGAGTTTATTTTTGAATGATTTTGAATTCTTATTGATTGACACAAAATTTAAATTTTTATTTTGAAATTTTAAATTTTAAATGACATTCGAATTCTGCTTATTGAGACATAATAAGCTTACTACTGCTTTATTTTTATAGAATTTTTGTTTGAAACTTTTTAAAAAAAGTGTTCACGTTTTTTACTATAAACTATTAAAATAAGAGAACATTTTAGGGTTTAAACTTTTTTTCTTTAATTTTTAGAGTATATTTTAGAATTATATTGTGAATTTAGTTACTTCGTTTTATAAACATTTATTTATTACTTCATTGAATCCGTTATTTGTTTGTCTTACGGAAATCTAATTTATTTGTTTATTGTTTACATGGTTTCTACAAAAATATTTTTTGTTTGTGATAAATGAGTAATCTAACTGGTCATTTCTATTTTATATTTATTGTTGTAATATAATATAAAAAAACTTTCTCAATATTTTGAAATATTGCAAAGTTTTTGTGCTGCAATTCTTTTTGTAACATAAATATTGATTTTATAAATAAAAATAATTATTTGACTATATAAATACTAATAAATGGAAGAAAAATAAAAATTAAAAAATAAATGCGTAATTGTTTTATTGAATTGATAAAGTATAATTTTAATAAAATTGAAATTATAAAAAATTCAAAAATCTATTATTGAAAACAGGTGCCAAACCAAATTTTTGGTTTTGTGTTTATATTTTGATATTGGTTTTATCTTTTTTAAATAAAGATTTTAGATAATAATAGAAAATTTGTTTAGATTAACTGCGATTCATTTGGGTTTGGTTTTGTAGTTAGAGGTACTGGACCTTGTTATGTACAAACTGTTGATCCTACAAGTCCAGCAGCAGCAGCTGGTCTAAAGGTAATATCATATATAAAATTAATTCTTTGTTCTAACTGTCAAAATGTACAAGAAAAATAAAAAACCATGAGCAAGAAAAAATTACACAAGCTAATATATTTACATTTTTTATATTTTATTTTGTTTCTACCACAACATGCGAGTTATTATATTCATAAATAAAAGTTTGGATTTGGGTATATTAACACAAGTCTGAGTTTAGAAATAATAACACAGGTTGTGTTTGGTTTAGAGTCGACCTCGGGACTTCTTGCTTACAAAACAAGCGCTTTAGCACAACACCTATAAAGCCACATATAAAAAAATATATAAAGCAAATTCAGGGAAGATGAATTTTGACTGAACTCGGGGAAGTTCTTTAAGAATGTGAAGTTTCTAATTGAATCTTTAATTTTTATTTTTTTTTACATAGGTACGCATGTATATTTACTCGGTTAACGGCAAAGTTGTTTTAAACATGAGCCATAAAGAGGTTTCGCATGAAATCGATAAATGTTCGTTTGTAGAACTTGTGACACTTTATAGTATTAGAAGAACGAAGCAGTTAAATAGCGATTGTGAAGAATAGAATGGTTTGATAGAAGAGTGTTAAAACTATTATTTAAAAAAGAAAAATGTCTGTTTTGTATATAAATATTTAAACGCTGTTTTCGTAAATATGAGTATATTTATGTATACATGAGCTTTTTTTCAGGTTTTATGTATATATGTCTTGTTCATAGTCTGTGCTATGTCTCCTGATGTTGTTTTATTTAGTTAGGTTTGCTCATTTACTCAGGTTTGCTCATTTACGCACAGACGAGTTGTAAGTAGAGTTAGTTAAAAACTCTTGTTTTTTGACAGACACCTGTCTGTTTGTTTTATATTTTATCGAAGAAACATCTTTTATATTTTTATAAATTTATTGGATTATATTGTTTATGTTATTGATTATAATGTATATAGTTATGCGTTTATTGATTTGCCGAGCCTAATAGAATTAGTTGTTTTTATTTACGGTTGACGACTTAGTTCCCAAATTGTGCTTACAAACTCTTTCAAATTTATTAAAAGAAAACTTTTTTACGGGAAATACTTTTTTTCTAGTCTTACTGAAATTTGTATTTGCGCCAGCAAAATTTAGTTTATAAGAACTTAACAATAACATTTAATGCAAAGAAGAACATTCTGCCAGTGCAGATAAAAAAAAATTGTGTTTTCGAAATTATGACAAAATTGGGTTATAAGATCTACATACTAGTTTAATATCGCAAAATATTTAGAGAAAACTCAATTTAAAATCGTTCAAATTTCAACCGATAATTAAACAGATTTCTGAGGGTTTTTTCTGTTAGAAAATGAATTAAAACCCACAATCTACAAAAATGGTTGGCTGTAGTGAGCCAACCCTTTTTGTAGTCTGAAATGAGAAACAGGCCCTATTTCAAGGTTTATTAAATTTTCTGGTAATCAAACTCCAGATCTTATTGCTGTAGTTTTGAGGGGTCCTATCACTACAAAGCCTACCATTGCTACTACGCCTGCCATCTTGGCTGAAAATCCATTTATTTTAATGTAATTGGCCCTATACATTGATTTATGAGATGTGTTGCATGACTATATTTTAAACAACTCAAAAATTTAAACTACACAAATAAATTCAACACCTTTGTTGTTTACTATGTTTATTATATATTATAAAATTATTGGAATTGCTATTTAGGAATAAAATTGTTTTTTCTTTAATACATTTTTTTTTTAATCGTAACAATGAATGCACCAGTCTTTTATTCAGCCATCAATTGTGTCAACAAGCCAGTCTTTTATTCAGCCATCAATTGTGTAAATAATAGGGTTGTTCGCCGAAAAACAAAACTTACGAAAATTTCGCATTTTTATCTTCCGTAATGGAATTGTTATTGCGGAAGTTGCACATGCGAAAATGCACATTCCGTAACGCTCTATACGAAAATATAAATAAATAAAATTCCGTAATAACGCATTACGAAAGAAGACTTGCGAAACAAATCATTTCGTAAGAATACTTACGAAATAGTTCATTACGGAAAGAGCATTCCGGAATGTGCAGTTACGAAAAAGACGCAAAAGATTTTATGTTACGATATATTTAAGATATTAACTGTTAACAGTTTAAATAATAAATAATAAAATTATAAAAAAATGTTGTCAAATGATTCTTCAAATGTTTATACAAATATACCTTTTATATATATATATATATATATATACATATATATATATATATATATATATATATATATATATATATATATATATATATATATATATATATATATATATATATATATATATATAAATTAACGGGATTTTACTGTATATATATGTATATATATATATATATATATATATATATATATATATATATATATATATATATATATATATATATATATATATATATTCATATATATATATAAATATATACATATATATACAGTAAAATCCCGTTAAGTTGGACTCTCAATGAACAGATAAACAGTATGCCTTTCTTTTTAAAAAGTATAAAGAGGATGTGTGATAAACAATTAAATACTTTATTATAAAGAACGAGAGATCTCTCTAAAGGTAAATGATATCAGCAAAGAGTAAAAAGAGAAGAAATATATGTGAAACAGCAGGATGTGAACCTGGGTCTACGCGGCCAAATGTCTTAACTGAATGAGCTATACGTTCATTCAACTAAGTGAATAGTAATATTTATTTAATATACAATTAAGAAACTATATAAAACAGAATTTACAGAAAGAGATACAAATGCAAATAGGATTCTATATATCAGGAAAATGAATAGTAATGTGAACCTTTAGATGCTTGTAATTAATATCTGGACTCAAAAACTAGTTACTTTTAATGGAACACATTAGGCTGTAGGAGCCTCAGGGAAATTATATTCAGAAATGGTTATATTAGACTCAGAGTTAGCTAGAAATTATTACAAAATATTTAGGACAGATGTCTAGTACAAAAAGCAAAAGATTTAAAGCAAAATGATTTATATTATTTGAAAAAGTTGTTTTACGTACATTTCATCATAATTTAAGTAGAATTTAGTAAAGCAAGGGAAACGTGTTGAATTAAGCACAATGAACTCAATCTTAAAAGAATAACTAACAGAAGAGAGGTTGTCACTATTGTGAAGGTGACGAAAGATCTGTAATATAGAACATGGAGGTCAAAAAATGCTATCTTAAGTAAAAAGAGTTTGATGAACAAAAGTTACAATGGCTGCGGGATGCGAACCGGGATCTCTGCGGCGAATTATCACGTATCTAACTGATTGAACTATACAATCTTATACTCAAATTTATATCTTATTAAAATTAAAAAACAATATTTTCTAAGATCTATACTTCGAAAAGCGTATTCAAACAGGACTCTACATACCTTTAAAATCTGCTAGAACTTTAGTAACGTGAACACTTTTAGAAACTATTGAAATAGGTATATTTTATCAGAAATATGCTTAAGCTAAAGCATATTTTTGAGCCTCTTTTTACTATTTGCTTAAGCATATTCGAACCTGTTTCAAAAATTTCATATGCTATTAAAAAAAAAACATGTATATTCCTACCCATCATTCTTATTTTTAATATACGTAATGAGTTCAAAAAACATCGTTGTATATATTTATTATGGCACGTTTCGTAAGTTGATTTCCGTTAAGAATTCTTTCGTATGTTGTGATCCGAAATACTTTCGTTTCGAAAGAAATTTTATTTTTTATTAATATTTCTAAAAATAAAACCATAAAAATTTAATAGTTATTATACTGAGTTATAAAAATTCATTATAAACATTTTGGGATTTAAAGATGTTAATTTTTACAATTAAAATCAGTCTGGCAAACAAATTTTCTTTATAGACTTCAAAACGTCGTTTGGCGAAAATGTTTGTTTCGCAAGTGCGACTTCCGAAACCGCTACTTTCGTATGTTGCAAAATAGTTTTGTTTCGTATGTCAACTTGCGAAATGCTAAATTTCGGAAGTGGCTTTTGCGAAATGAACATCGGCGATTTTAAATGTTTTGTAACATTCGGTACGAAAAAATGTAATTCCGCGTTCTCAATCTCCTTACGAAAGAATGTTGTTTTTCCGGAATTGCACGAAATCCTCCGGTTAACAACCCTAGTAAATAAGCCAGTCTTTTATTCAGCCATTCATTTGTGTAAACAAGCGTGTAAAGAATGTTGGAAAAAACATCTCTCCGAAAGACAAAAATAGGTATTTGTTAATTAGATCGAGGTAAGTAATTATTAATTATTTCTTAATCAGATCGAGGTAAGTAATTATTATTTATTTGTTAATCAGATCGAGGTAAGTAATTATTAATCATTTGTTAATCAGATCGAGGTAAGTAATTATTATTTATTTGTTAATCAGATCGAGGTAAGTAATTATTAATCATTTGTTAATCAGATCGAGGTAATTAATTATTAATCATTTGTTAATTAAATCGAGGTAAGTAATTATTAATTAGATCGAATTTATTAATGCACTAATAGAAGTTCTTAAAACACCATCTAACATAAATAAATAAAAATAATATAAAAAATCAAATAAAAAGTCTAAAATCAAATATTTTGCATATTATGATGGCAACAATTCTGTTAAATCAAGGAGGTATATTAGAATGGAGGGAGAACAAAGCCGATAATTCCTTCTCTCAGTATTATCTTGTTCTATCTACAAATGTAATAAATAAAATGTTCTATCTAATATATAAAATAAATACAAAAAAATCTATATATATAAATAAATACAATGTTCTACCTGATATAACATATTATATTACATAGAACATTCTATTTATTTATATATGTATATATATTTTTGTATTTATTTTACATATTAGATAAAACATTTTATTGATTACATTTGTAGATAGAACAAGATAATACTGAGGGGACGATTTATTTAGAATCGCAGTGATAAGTCAAAATGGGGCCTTTGCACAGTGGCTGTGACAAAAGTCAAAAAAGAGATGTTCTTAAAATAATTTTTTTTTTTAGATACATGTCTAGTATTAATCATGGGCTTTCTAAAATGGATATTATTTTTTTTATAACTCAAAAACTGTTTAAGCAGTTACAAATTAAGAGGGTTCTTTTTCAGAGATTCAAAACGACTAAAAATTCAATTAAAAATGTTTAATTTTATTTCTTCACAAATTTAAAATTATTTGTATTTGCAACGCTTTTTTTAGTAAGTATACACAAAATGTGAAATATCTTTATAGCTTATTATTTTCTTGCAATAATAACAAATTATAAATTAAATCACCTTTTTTTTCTGTTGTTTAAAATAATTTGTAAAAAATCTTTATTACAATTATCAGAGAGGTATATATATAACCTAATACTTTTTGGAACACAAGAAAACACATTTATTAGTATATACAACAAATGATTAACATGTTTACTATGAAATAAAATTAGTTTTGGATGCTACTTTTTGCAACTTTGAGCACTGTCAAACTTTAAAGCTAAAAATATTTTGTAGAACCCCCTCACTTTGAGGGGGCATTAATATATGACATCAATATAATTTAAAAATGCCAAAATTTTTTAGATAAATTATGTTTATTTTGATGAAATGAGAATGATAAAAATATATCATTCTTAAATTTAAAAACTGACTACCTGTAATAGCTCTACCACACTCTGCCTCGTATGGAAATAACTAACATTACGGTTGCCACTTAAATTAGGATTACATTTTTTTTAAGTTTTACAAATTTGGTGGTTCAAAGAATTTATGAACAAAAATTATCAGAAAGCAGATCTCGTAATTTATCACGTGTAAATTCTTTATTTTTGACTTACATTGTTCCTTTAGAGCAATTTACAAGTATAGATGAAAAAAAAGTTATTTTATGGCGAAACTTAAAGCCACCGTCAGCCATTTCTTGCACAACTCTGAGTTTTGAGTTTAAAAAAGAAACTAAATCTGTATTGATTGATAAAGAAAGTAAACTTAAAAATAAAACGGCAAATTTGAATCCATCAATTGTTGTTTTCGAAGGGCAAAAAATATCTATTAGAAACCCTATCGAAATCACTATGATTTATGAAAAGGTGCACACTGACATATCCAACGTAACTGACTCTAGTTAATCTTGTTTTGGTGTATGTAGCCCATCAGAAATGAATAAAATTGAAATTGTTATTAATAAAAGCAATCCACTCATATACTTCGGTATGGTCTCTCAAGCTTGCATGCTTAGATAAGGTGCTTAGAATGCTAATTGCATATTGCTTATAAAATAAAAATTAAATTTTGGCAAGTAAGATCTTTTGGAGCCAAGAATTCAGTAATGGAGCAAAAGAATTTAGTTCAGAAAAGGTTATTAGATAAAGGTTCTTGAATTGATAGTAGATCAATCAAGAGCAGATGTTAGTGAGAACTCTAAAGACGGTAATAGAGCCAGGATAGCTTTCATAAATGAAGACACATTTAGTGAAATTACAGGAATTGATAAAGTGCTAATTGAAAGATTGAATGTTATACTTTGTCGTATTTCCAGTGGTTTTGAATCAGACATTCTGGAATTATAGTTTTGAAATTCCCAGATATTTTGTTAAATGTTACTCCTGGTACTGCATACCTCAATGTCTGCATAATATAATAATAATGCATGGATACCTTATAGCGGAAAAATTGATATTGTCTATTGGTCTTAAATCAGAGAAAACTCAAGATAATAATAACAATTTTAAGAGTTATCACCAAGATCATGCAAGAAAAATATAATATAATGCAAGTATGATGAGCCAATCAAAATGCAACAAATAAAACAACTGTTGTGCACTTCTGATCCATTGGTGTTGGATTTGTTGGTGGATCCATTGGTTTAAGAAAAACACCAATAAAAAAGAAAAAAAAAGTTATCTTTTCATTTTTATTGAGTTTTAATGTTGTTTTTATATATTGTATATGTTTACTTTTATGTTGTCTTGATATATAAATAAGTTAAGAGTTCTATTTGTTTTGTTATATTCTAAATTATGTATAATTTTATCGCTATATAAATATATTGCTATGGTTACTTATTTTTGCCAATGCAAGACTAAGTTTCGATATGCAAAACTAAATAACCATAGTAGTTAACCATAGGTGATATACCACCTGATTTCGCTCTGCAAAATTAAGTAACCATAGTAACTAAATATAAAAATTACTTTTATAAGAAGCAAAGACCTCATATTAATACACATGCCAAAAACAGAGTATGTAGCACAAATAAAAAATTTCTACCAGAAACAGGTTGTTGCTATGCAAAATTAGGTATCCATAGCAACTAAATATAAAAATTATTACTTTCATAAGAAGCGCAGACCTCATTTTGGTACTCTTGCTAAATTTGGTAAAGAAAGTACTAATATTAAATTAGTTATTAATTTTGTCTCAAAATTGACTATTCTGGCCCACTGTGCTTTGCCTTGAAAAAGGAAAATTTTGAGATTTAGTTTTTAACTTTTTTAAGCTGTAATCAAAAAGGATTACTCTCTTAAAAGTTGACTGGATTTTTAACAATTGTTTTACAAAAAAAAAAAAAAAAAAAAAATTTGACAAATTATTAAAAGTGATTGCAACTTTAAATTTTCTTTACAATAAATGTGTTGATCATGCCTTTCATCCAAAAGAAAATTTAATTACAAATTTTGATTTATATGCGAATGTCTTATACGATTTTATAATCGTGATAATCGATTTTATAAGGTTTTATAATCGTGATTGGCATCGCGAAGCAAGATCTTATTTTGTAAACTTTTATAACTAAGATCTGGCACCACAAAACAAGACATTTTTCGCCCCCCTGCCCCAAACGTGACAGCAACAAGTTGATAAAATATTTTTTGGTACTATTTTCAACTTGACTTATATTCATCGATAAATTTTAAGTTTCATATTATAATCTCTCAGCGTTGAAAAATATGTCCATATATAATTTGTAACCACCTCAAATCGAAAATTTGAGGGATTTGAAAAACCCCCTCAAAATAAAAAATTGCAGCTTGCAACTAATATTGAATATATATATTTTAAAAATTTTAGATACTAAACAAAATAAAAAAGCATAATAAAAAATAAATATAAAACTAAATACAATATCAAAAAACATAATACCAAAAATTTAAAAAATAAATAAACCCGAACTTCGGACAAAATGTCAAAAAAAAAAAAAAAATAATTAAAAAACAACAACAGTAACAATAAAAAAACAACATATATATATATATATATAAAAAATACTCTAAAAATTTTCTTTATTATAATAGAATCGTACTGAATCGCCACTATATTTGTTCGACATTTTGTGTAAAACATGAGAAAGTACAGCAGGTCCGCAAAAGAATACGCCAATATTTGATCTGGATGAAAATAATACGTACACATTGAAATATATATATATATATATATATATATATATATATATATATATATATATATATATATATATATATATATATATATATGTATATATATACACACACACACTTTTAATTATAAACCTTATAAATATATAAATATATATACTGCCGCCCTAAGTAAAAACGCAGTAAACAACAAAAATGACATTCTGAGAAAAAGCCACTTTTAAATTTTGTGTGTATATATTTTTTTAACTTACGGCAAAATGAACTATGGGTTTGATGACTTCGGAATATACCACAATATTTTTATATAGAGCGTTATTACACAGAAAACGATGTTAAAACGTTTGGTGCAATAATCTCGATTTTTCAATTTTTGCGATTACTGCGTTTTTTCTTAGGACGGCAGTATATATATATATATATATATATATATATATATATATATATATATATATATATATATATATATATATATATATATATATATATATATATATATATATATATATATATATATATATATATATATATATATATATATATATATATATATACATACATATATATATATATATATATATATATATATATATATATATACATACATATATATATATATATATATATATATATATATATATATATATATATATATATATACACACTTTTTTAATTATAAACTTTGTAAATTTTTATTTACCCTTTATGAGAAGATGCAATGTTGCTGAAAATTCGATCCCAGTTCGGTCTCCCATAGTTGGTTTTTTGTCTTAAGCCTGTTATAACGTCTGCAGAGTCGCTTTCGTGAAGAACAATGTTTCTTACCTTTAAATAAGAATAAAAAGTCTTGGTTAACCCCTCAAAAAATAACTGAACTTAAAATGTCAAACATACTATTTTTATTTAGCTTTCTACTCACTAAATAAAATTTTTTGTGTATAACCTCCTAGTTTAATATATTTTTAAGTTTAAAGTCAATAATTCTATTTAGTGATAAAACGTTTTGCGATACAATAATATGACCCTAGCCTGGTGGTACGATATTTTTGCAATACAATAATCAGCACCGGTTTTAGGGGGTGGCGAGGTCGTGCGCCCACAAGGACTATGCCTCAGAATGATCAAAAAACGGCAAATTTTTCGATCATTTCTGTTTTTCAAAATTTGTTCAAAAACAAATTTTGAAAAACATTGTAAATAAACATGTTATATGCTGAAATAATAGCTTTTTGGATCAAAGAATTCAAATTTCTTATTAAAAATACTTTTTTCATGCGCAGCAACGGTAAGATAAAAAAAAAAAGAGAAGAAAAAAAGCTATACAAGATCACATTGTTAGAGTTTATGTCAAAACTGTCAGTCAAAATTGTGTTGACGAATCACTGATAAATGTACGGCAATTTGGTACCCCAAAGAGAGGTACCCAAGCTATCAACCAACAGCAAATAGGCGATCAAGTTTCCAATTTTTTATGATAATTATTAAAAACATTTTTTAGAAAAAATATTCTTTATTTTATATTATAAATATTATAAATTATAAATATTATAAATTATAAATATTCTTTATTTTATAATATCTTTTTATTCAAAAGGTAAGATTAAATTATTTTTTTGGTACGATCATACCAGGTCCCACTTTGTTATAAAAACAGTTGTAAAAGAAGTTTGCCAATATTGTTATTCATTTTAGATGCAAAAATTGTCGCTGGTTGCTTTAAAGACTATCACTGGCCTGAAAAAAAGTTGTAAAACATATTTTGAAATAATTTAATAATAAATCATTTTTCAGAATAGTATTTTTGATTTTATGTTATAATCTTCACGATTATGTAGTTAAATTTGCAATTTGTTTCCTTTTCTATAAACCTAACTTGCCATAGTAATTGAGCAGTTCCAAATATGTGTGTTATTTTTAGTATTTATATTTAGGCAAAAAGCCGTTACGCCCTTAAAAGGACTTGGATCTTTTGGGGTTTACAAAATAAATATTTAGGATAAACAAAAAATCTTTTTGCATCTAAGCATTTGCAGCCCTAAGTAATATTTATAATAAGTTTAAAAAAACAGTTTCTCTGGCACTTATGGGTAAAGCAAACTTGAATCAATCTAAACAAACCAGAAAAAAAAAATTTTTTTCTCTCAATTTTTAAAGTTTTAAATTAAATTAAATTTAGATTAAAAGACTTATCTTCTAATAAAATAAAGTAGTAAATTGTTAATAAAACAAAAAAGTAAAAAAAAAAAAAACTTACATCTCCTTTTCCCCATCCTTGAGTAAGATAGATGTTATATTCCAAAAAGTCCAGCAAACCTTTTTCTGTCATCTAAACAATCAGACATTTAAAATTTGGTTTTAGAAAATCTAGAGATTATTAAACATCTTATCTAAAAAAAAATTGTTTTATGCTATAAACAACGTTTTCAAGAATTTTATTCTTTATTTAAATAACGCATAAACTATGTAACAAACACATGAATTATCTGATTATCTGTAAATTACTTTATATTTATGTGATAAAGATGTTGAAATCAACACAATAAACGAATGTTTATTGTGTTGATTTCTAGAACATTACTTGGTCTTCAAGTGATTGTAACAAATCAGAAAACCATTCAAAAGCATTGGTATCTGGACATATCCAATAGAAATACACTTTTTTAATTTTCAACGTTGTATCACCACGGTGGTGTCGATACCTAAATATATCTTACAATATTAACAATACTTTAAATACATGTTACACTATTTAAATTGCTGTGAATATATGTTACACTATTAGCAATACTTTAATTATGTTACATTATAAACAATACTTTAAATATGTGTCACATTATTAACATTACTTTAAAATATAAGAAATGTAATCGAACTTTAAATATACTTACATTTACTATAGAGACTATTTTGTTTAAAAAAAAACAAAAAGTTATACAAAAAACAGAATAAGTTCAAAACAATATAAATATAAAACAGAACAAATATATTGAGTTTAAAAAACCTAACAACTTCTTAATGTAGGAGTACATACCATATACTTTTTAATATGGACGCAAAAGGAGTTATTCCAATCCCTGCTCCAATACACATCAAGTTTTCATGGTAAAACACATCCTTAAAAGAAAGATATAGATATAAATAAAATATAGTCTGTATAATGTAATAAAAAAGCAAAAAAAAAAAAAAAAAACAGAAAACTTACTGTACTAGCTGTTCCAAATGGACCATCAACTGCCAGACTAAAAAAATATAACAATTTTGAACAAAATTTTATAAAAAAATTTTCTTAGCAAATGGTACTTACAAAGTTTTTTTATTTGGTTGATACAATTATATATTATATAAACTAGATGTCTAACTTGCGGAATTTTATTGGACAAAAAATGAAACCGCTTTTTTTGTTTAACAATAGTCCGCCATTTGTACAAAAAGCAAAAGCTGAAGTCGAAGTGTGGAATAAAAGTTAAAAATGCAAGACAAAAGTTCCCAACAAATTAAAGACAATTCAAAAACGAGTTTTAATAATCATAAAATAATTATTAAAGTTTTTTTATAATGTTTATTAAAAAGTATTTTAATTCATAAAAATGCTTCAAAAGCGTCTGTCGTTTTATTTTTTTAAATCAAAACTTTAATCCCTTTTTGATCAAAATAAATTAAAGAATCATAAATTATTATTTTACAAGTATTCTAATTTCTGCTCAATACATTTACATAAATAGTATTTAAATTTAAAATAAATTTACTTCATTTGAGAAAAGAAAAGTTAAAATTTTTGTTTACAAATTTAATCTGCCATTTGTAAAAAGGGCAAAAAGTGGCTTCACTTTTTGGATCAAAGTTAGACATCTAGTTTATATAATATATCATTGGGTTGATATAAAGTTTTTGTTATTTGTTGATAGGAAGCTTTGTTCCCTGCTTTATAATAAGCACAAAATGTTTATGCAACAACCTTGGTATCTTCGAAGTGTCCACAGTTTTTTGATTGGAGTTACCATCACAGTATTTTGCCAGTGCTTCTACAAAAGATTTTGATTCTCAAAAAAATTTTTATAAAAATTATAAATATCATGGTGAGATTTAAATTCAAAACCTAACTAGTTACCAGTCCAATCTCCAGCTTGGCGTATGTGAACGCTAAAAAAATCTTCTTCTGGACACTAAACCATAAATATAAATTTTCTATCTTAAAAATATTACAATAATGTAAACTAAAAGATTTAAAACACACTTAATTCATAACTAAAAGATTCAAAACACACTTAATTTTTGAAACATTACAATATTTTTCTAAAAAATATAAATCAGGGAAAGCTGAGCAACATCATTATAACTATCATCATTAACATCAGGTTTATTGAAGAATAGATAAATTTTATTATTCATTAATAAACCTATTTTAAACCTGTTTTAATCATGTTGACGATGATATTGATGAGTTGTTATGTATAAAAATGTATAAAATATGACAACTTTTGCAATGTATTGACATTTTGCTATGTATTGACATTTTATCTTTTAGATTAATTTGCATGCACATAAATTAATTGCACAAAACGGTTTCATTGATAATTTGATATGAAAATTAATGTTTTTAATTTTTTTAATTAATGAAATATTTATCTTATTATTGAGTTTATATTTCTAGAATATCATTTTAAAAAATTAAAAACTTTTTTGAAAAAAAAAAGACAATAAAAACTGTTTGCCAAACAATATGGTACCCAAAGGTGAATATCTAAATACTACATAATAAAAACTTATTTTAGACTTAGTTAAACAAAAAAATACTTATAGAAAAGTCCAAGAACTTACAAATATTTTATTTACAACAGTAGGAGCCATTGTAAAGAAATACAAAAAAAAAAAAAAAAGAAACATTTCATACTGGACAAAGATGAGAGCTGAAAATAACTTAAATAGATGATAAAGAAATTTTAAGAAAAAAAAAATTTAATTAAAAGCGCATAAAAATGGTTTGAATCCAATAGAGCATTTTATTGGATAAGAAAATAGGTAATAGATCATTTACCAAAAAAAAAACTTTTTTATGCGCTGTTTTTAAAGATGGCAGATGTATTTTTGTGAAGATAAAAAACAATAAAAAAATAATTTTTTTTTTTTACGCTATCAAAAAATAAGAAACAAAGTTTATATAACATAATCATTTGGATATTGAATTTTTGAATTGGATACTGAAACTTTTTATTTCCTGTGTAATAAGAAAAGAATGACAAACATCACCAAAGTGATGGTTTATCAAATTTTGCAAAATTACATCACGGAAGCGGCGTTAGACAATGCACTAGCAGATTTAAAAAATTAGCATGCATCTGAATTACAGACTATGAAAAATTCAAATAAAAGCATTTTAGATTTGTATAAATCAGATTATAAAAAAAACAAACTAAAAAATAAAAATGCACACTTGAGATCACAAATGACACATTAAAACTAAACAACCACAAATTGAAAAAACAGTTACTAGTGGACCAGTTACATGGTCATCAATGGTAAACAACAAGAAACTACACCAAGAGATAGAAGAAAGAAAAACATAATCATATCGGGTATAACAGCAACAGCTACTAGGACTGACGTGGAAAAACAAGCAGAAACTGAGAAACAAATTATTCAAATATTTAACTACATAAGAGCTGCCCTCAACCCAAACTTGTCAAAAGACTAAAAGGATTTTAAAGAGGGGCAATAGCAGGCATACAGACCGCACCACCAAAAGCACAACAGAAAAAAATATTAGTTAAAATAAGTGACAAGTCAGAGAGAAACCCAGTATTATCCAAGGCAAAGAGAATGGGGGATAAAATAAACCCACAATACAAAAGAATTTATATTTCACCAGATATGACACAAGCAGAGCAATATGAAAAAAAGGAGCTCAGAAAAATAAGAGACACAAAAAATGCAGCGAGTAGACCAGATGATTCTTTTTGATATGTGATACATGGAACCGGACTTGTCAAGTTTAAATGTAATGTTGAGAATGGAAAAAGAACTGAGCAAAAAGAAAAAGAACTAACAAATACCTACAATGTTTATATACAAATGCAACATCACTTGGCAACAAAATGGAAGAATTTAAGATATTGTATGAATCAAAAAAAGTCAATATAGCCGGAATCACTGAAACATGGTTTCAAAACTCATTTATTGCACAGTTAGAAGGTTACAGAGTATACAAAAAAAAGTAGATCTAATGGGCGAAAAGGTGGTGGAGTAGCCTTGTATATAAAGAACAACCTCACATCATATGAAATAAGTATTGGTAATCAGGACAGCAAAATAGAACAATTATGGGCTGTTGTTGTAATTAGAAATATCAAATACCTCATTGGATGTATATATAGATCAAACGATCAAATAGACATGAATGATCTAAGACAAGTTATATATTTACGATATAATAAACAAATTTTTATTTCAGCATGTTAAGATTCATACTTTTCAACTGTCAGAAACACAGTTAAGAAACACGCTGGACTTGATATTTACCAACAATAGTAACAGAATACATGAGCTACAATCACATGAAGTCCTAGGTTGAGCAAACAAGGGCCACTTAATATTGACATTTAAACTTGAATTAAACATTAAACAGAGTAGCAGAACACTAAAATATAAATTTGACTACACCAGAGGAGACTACACAAAAATAAACAAAAAAGTTCACTCAATTGACTGGTACTTTTGTTTTTAGAAAACAACAACACAACAAATGTATGATTTGTTGTGTACTTATGTTTAATATAAAATGTACTTTTATATTAAACTATCTGAGTACCAAAAATTGATGTTAATGCAAAATACATACACAAGAGAAATCCATGGTTTAATGATAACCTTAGAGCATTAGTAAGAATGAAAAAAGATACATAAATTTAGCAGCCAAATGGAAAGATGCAGAAAAGGTCAAGGCATACAAAACAATAACAAAATTAGTATCAAAAAAAGTCGTATTAGCCAGAATAGACTATGAAAGAAACCTGATAATAAAATCAAAATCAAATGCGATTTATAAATATGTAAACAGTCAAAGGAACAATAAGCAATCAAATAAAACCATTTTGAACACTAATGGTACTGTAACAAATAACCAAAATAAGATCACAAATATTCTAAATGATCCAGTTTTAAAGCACCTTTGTAAACGAAAGCAACACAATGCCAGTTATAGCAGATAAACTAATAAGTCACACACTTGATTTACATGATAACTTTATTGATTACATAGATACTCTGAATTGTCTTAAATCACTAAATACATACAGAGCATGTGATGCAGAAAATTTACATTGTTTTTTTTTTAAGCAATGTGCAAAATCAAAAGAATTGTCACTTACGTTAATCTACAAATTGTCTTACAACACAAGTAACTACAGTGGGGTGCATTTGCTGCACCCCACTCTACAGTGGGGTGCAGCAAATATGACACCAATTTTCAAAAAAGAATGTAAGTTAAATGCATCAAACTACAGACCTGTGTCAATGACGTCAACAGCATGCAAAATATTTGAAGGAGTTATAAGAAATGAAATGCAAAAATTTTTTGACAACTGTTATCTGATCAGAAAATGCCAACATAGTTTTGTGAAACAGAAATCATGTACCACAATTCTTTTAGAGACTCTCGATTTTATTACACACAATTTATCAAAAAATATATGTTTAGATGTTATTATGTTGACTTTGCAAAAGCATTTGATACCATGCCACACAAGCAACCTATGTTAAAACTGAACACATATAGAATAAAGGGAAAATTTTAAAGCTGGATTGATTTGTTTTTGAATAATTGAATACAAAGAGTGGTTTTAAAGTGATGCAATGTCAACATGGAGAAACGTATTATGTGGTGTTCCACAGGGACCCATTCTAGGACCATTTCTTTTTGTAGCATACATCAATGACATACCAGAGAAAATGCACTGTAAAAATTGAGGGCACTAAATTAATTCCAAGACACTTAAATAATATAGAAGAGTAGTCAGAAAAATGGTTAATCAAATTAAAAAAGAGTAAATTTGTGGTTATGCATTACGGTAAAAATAACATAAAATTCATTTACACAGTAAATCAGAAATTAACAATTCGACATATGAATATGATGTTGGTGTAAATTTTGATACAACACTGAAATGGAAGAAACAGATAGTAACATATTCATCAAAAGCAAATGCAATAATAGGGATGATAAAAAACACCTTTGTGCCTTTAGATCAGTATCTTGTCAAGCAATTATACACAACTTTTGTTAGACCTCTGATTGAATTTGCAGCACCAGTTTGTTCACCAAACTACAAAAGTTACATTGAAATATTAAAAAAAGTACAGCACAGAATGATAAGGATGGCAATGAACATAAGAAGTCTGCAATACCAATATCGTTTACAAGCACTAAATTCAACAAGATTGTCAGAAAGAATACAAAGAGGAGATCTTATTAAAGTATTTAAAATTTTTAATAAAATTGAAAAAGTAGAGTTTTTAAACAAACAAACTTTCTCAAAATCACGCTGAGGTCACAATAAGAAATACAGTAGAAAACAAATTAAGTTTATATCAAGACGCAAATTCCTTATAAACAGAACTGCAAATTTATGAAACGCATTGCTATTAGAAATCATCAATTCAACAAACCTAAATAATTTCAAGAACATATTGGACAAATTAGAAGAACCCAAAGTGAGTTTTTAACTTACTCCCTGTTAATGCAGCTACAGTTTTAAAGTTTTACACTTTTTAAGTTTTACAGTTTTAAACTACTATTACAATTACAAGGAAAGCTGTTGTTAAATCATTACCAAATATAGACAATATTTAAATCAAATGCCTTATAAAATCAATGCCAAAACACTTGCAAGTAATTAAAGCCAAAAGAAGACCAACAAAATATTAAAATATACTAATGAAATTAAAAAAAGATTTGTATGTCAGTTATATTAAAAAACAAGTATTTTTTTTAGGTTTGAACTATAACACTTTTCTTTGTACAACTATTTTCAAGTTGTTTCAAGACTATATGTTCAAGTATTTATAGCACATTATTTTAGTTTTAAAATAGTAATTAAAAAAAGTGAACAAAGATTTTAGGCTAGATAAAAGAAGATAAGAAATGAGGCTCTTTTATTAGACCTAATATTTGTAAAATGATGTTTGATTAAAACTTTGAAAAAAAAAACGACTACAAAGGAAAAGGAAACTTAGATAACATGTAAGCAAGTTGCGACTAGTGATTACAATCTCAGGTTCCAGGTATTTATTATAATCCCAAAATCCTGATATTATCCAATATCAATACTGGGCTTTTTTGTAAGGTCAAACAAAACGAAGCACAATGAAAAAGTATATAAAAATATGTAAGAAATTTGTCAATATCAGTTAACAAAATTATTTGGTAGAGTGCAGCAAAAACAATGTGGTAGAGTGCAGCAAAAAAAACAATGTGGTAGAGTGCAGCAAAAAAAAAACAATGTGGTAGAGTCCAGCAAAAACAAAAAATTACATATCAAATTGAAGTGCATAAGAAAACAAAATTCAAGGTAGGAGAGACATTTTTTTGTCTTTGGATGTCACTTCAAAATTGTTTGTTACTTGAAAATTAACATACCATTGAATTTTTCCACTTCATGTTTTTTGAAGACATTATTCTTGGTTTATTGACACAGTAACAATCATATTTCTTTATTTTATTTGTACTTTTTATAAATAATTCTTATTCACTTTTTTTAAAAAGAAAGAAAAAAAATGCTTAGAGTAAGGTTTAAGAGATATCGAGGAATATTTATTAAAAATGTACTAAAAATAACCATAAAAAAACAGCTTTAGTGAATTTTCTCATCACCCAGCACAAAATAATTTAGCTCAGATTCAATTGCATGGGAAAAAAAACAAACAAAATTTCAATTCGATATTTATATTATACTCTGAAAAAAGCTTTTTTATTTATAAAAAATGGTAGCTGCGTCCCAATTTTAAATTCACAATTTTTAAATTTATGTTTATTTCAGTTTGAAAGCCATTTTTTTTTTTTAATTTTATAATTTTTTTCTAGTTTTATAAAACTGTGGACCAGATTTATTACAATTTATAAATTGATAAATTAAAAATAATAAAAAATTTTAAAAACATGTCAAAATACATAAGGAATTAAAAGATTAAAAAAATTGATGATTTTGTATTAAATTTGTCCATTCCTAAAACAGCACCTGCATATAAAAATATTTCAAAAAAAAAAAAAAGCATACTGTGTCTGCAAGAAAAATTTAAAAATTAAAAAAAAAAAATTCATTAATATATTAAAAAAAAAAAAAATTATTATTTTTATAAAAGTGTCAACATATTCGACAAATGTGTGAAACAGTAGTTAAGACATTTATGACTAATACTTTTCATGTTAACTATTAAGCATATATACTATATATAACATATACTTTTATATATTTATTACTATATAAACAAATTTAAAATATACTATACATGCATAAACTTTTGAGTTAACAAATTTAGAACCAATAAATATAGACCCAATAATTCTAGATAAATTTTAATAAATTTATCTAATTCAAATAAATTTTGAATCAGTTATTTGAATGACAAGTTATTATTCAGTCAATAAATTCAAAAGAATATCAAGACCGAAGCTAATATAGCTTTGGTAGTTCTTATGTTTTATAGTTGCATATTTATTTTCACATCCAGTAGTATAAAAAATTCAAATACTGGTATCTAACAAAAATTAGTGTGTATTTTTTTTATGACTTATTATTTCTATTTTTAACATAGTAAAAGAAAAAAATTTTTTTTATATAAAAAAAAGTTTTATAAACAATAATTTTTAAAAACCTACCGAGGTCAAAGTAAAAGGATGCCATTCAAGTGGTGATATGCTTGGACAGTGAAGAAAGATATACTGAAAAAAGAAAGATATACTGAAAAATCAATAAGATTATTCTAAAACTTAGTTAAAAAAATTAACTGTAAAAAAAATTATTGACTATAACTACCTGGCCAGCAGATGCTTTAAATCCAGGTTTTCGTAGCTGAAATTCAACAACCCTGGATGGATGTTTCACAACCTAATATGCAACAGATGTCATATATATGTCACAACTGAAAATCTGGACAAACATTTTAGCTACAACATATATTTAGTATAATATATATTTAGTTCTAATTTGTTGAAAATTTAAATCTCTACAATGGTCTTTTTAAAACTTAATTAAACATGTCCAAAAGCTTGAATAATCAGCAGGCACTCCAAAAATGAATGTATACTTTGTTGGATTTGTATCTGAGAACAAAACATTTATTATTAATCACTTATAATGTGCAGAGTCAATTTTGGGAAAATATCCCAAAATTGACTCTGCACATTATACTGTAACAAAAAGACAACAATATGGGACCAGAAATAAAAGTCGGAAGTGATCGGACTGCAAAAAAAAAATGCCTAGAAAAGTTGATCAATAAGAAAAATGGTGTTTCACAGTAAAATTTAGGATCAATGTTTCCCAGCAGTATATTTCCAAAATTATTAATGAAAAGACTAGCATTCTTTATAATAAAAAAATTAAAGCCTAAAAAAGAACATTGGCTCAGAAAGCAGCTGGGCGTCAAAGTGCCAAAAATTGGTTGCACTTTGTTGATAAAAAATTGTGATTCTAGATGATGAGTTATACTTTCCTTTAAGCAACGCTGGGCTTTCTTTCAACACAGAGTATCATACCAGACACAACATCTAATGAGGTAAAAATTTGGAAATTATTTTGGATAAAATTTGGAAAAAAAAAATTATTTTGGATAGCATTGTCTGAGAAAGGAGTCTCAAAGCATTACATTGCTTCTTCGGGTCAAGCAGTCGACAAGGAAGTGTACATTTCCAAATGTCCAGTTAAATTAAAGAAGTTCAACAATGTGGTTCAAAAAAACAAAAGAATTGTGTTTTTGGCCTGATCTAGCTTCCACACACTAATCAAACAAAGTTTAAGATTACCTAAAACACAAAAGTATTGAATACCTGCAGAGACAAAACCCTAGTAATGCACCCAAATTGTGCCTGATAAAAGATTTTAGGATTGAAATTAAAGAATTGGTGCAGCAGATATTTGGCAAGCTTAACAACTCTTATAAATAAAAAATCAAATTGAGTATTGTATGCAAAAAATCAACAAAAGTAGCGTACTTCGGTTTGGGGTGAGTTCACAAGAGTTGACTGTATTGACCGATTGTGGATAAACAAATAATTTTTTTTATAATTTTGTAAAATAAAGATATTTTTATTATGCTTTTTAAATTAATAAAATTGATATATTGATATATATATATATATATATATATATATATATATATATATATATATATATATATATATATATATATATATATATATATAAATATATATATATATATAAAACATGTTACAAGTAAAAATACAGACAAACTTTGAAAATGATCTCTTAAACAGAGTTACCAATTTTATTAATTTAAAAATCATAATAAATAGAAACTCGTTTTACAAAACTATAAAAAAATTGTTTGTTTATCCACAATTTTTTTATATAGGTATATATAAAAAAAACAGTGTATATATAAAAGTTTAGAATCAGCTAAGTATTATTAGGTAAATCCGTAATTTATTGAAAATGACATACACAAAGCTAAGATTTAATTAATGTTATATACATACAGATGTATGAATATAACATAAATTAAATCTTAGCTTTGTGTACGTCATTTGTGTATGTCATTTTCAATAAATTATGGATTTACCTTAAAAATATATAACTAATTCTAAACTTTTGCAAAAAACTGCATACACATATATGATATCACATATATAGTGGTTTACAAAATGGAAATTAGGATTAATTTTGAAAAATGTAAAGAATATTTGTATTTTATGAACAATACCAATACAATAATGGAAACTAAAAAGACATTGGTGTTTATATATCAAGTGATTTAAAATGAGCCAAACAAGTAAATTTTGGAGCTACTAACAAGTAAAATATGCAGCTAGTAAAGTAAATAATATGTTCTCACTACTAAATAAGACATACAAGTACAGGAATAAAGATCTAATAAAAATAGTGTATTGTACATGTGTTAAACCAAATTTAGAGTTTTTCGATTCAAACATGGAGTCCATATTATATAAAGATATTAATGAACTAGAAAAAGTTAAACGAATAGCAACCAAAATGATATTAGAACTAAGACATCTTGAGTACAAAAAAAAGATTGGTTTGACAACATTGGAGTCTAGATGGCTAAGATCCAGCAATTCAAGATATTTAAAGGTAGTGAAAACATTGGTATTAAACAAAATGTGAAATCATTGATATTAAACAAAATCAAACAATAAACTCTATTTGCACATCAGGTCCAGCATCTAACATTAGGAGCAAAACATCAAATCAAAACCTAAATTGGTCAGAAATCTTATGAGAAGGCAATATTTTTTGAGCAATAGCGTCATTAATGGATGGAATAGTCTGTGAGCAGAAGTCATTCAATCTATTAAAATTAACAGCTTCAAATCAAACTTGCAATTGGTCAACTAGAAATAATAAACAAGGAAAATTAAGAAAGCTTATTATATAATATATATATATATATATATATATATATATATATATATATATATATATATATATATATATATATATATATATATATATATCTATATATATATATCTATATATATATATATATATATATATGTATATATATATATGTATATATATATATATATATATATATATATATATATATATATATATATATATATATATATATATATATATATATATATATATATATATATATGTATATGTGTATATATGTATATATATATATATATATAAATAAGAATATATGAGCAAGAGAACGGAAAAAAGAAACTTGGGGAGCTGTGCGAGCTGCTCTTCATTTAAATTGGCGCTTTTTTTTAAATTTAATTTTTTTGTTGCAACAAAAAACTATACTTTTGCGAGAGCCGTAAATTGCTCTTGTAAACCGTTTTAGAGGAGTGTGGCATTTTAGGGGAGTTTGGCTTCACTTCCCACCAAGGCTATACATATATATATATATATATATATATATATATATATATATATATATATATATATATATATATATATATATATATATATATATATATATATATATATATATATATATATATATATATACACACACACACACATACATAGGTATATATATAAAATATGTATTGTGGTAAAAAAATGGCATGAACGTGTATAAATGTGTGTTTAAACAACATTTCTCACAGCACACTGAAATAGCTTGCTGCTGGAGGCTTTAGTACATACATAGACTATCTTAGAGCCTGATTCTGCAAAGGAATGCTGCTACATCTACTGAAGGTTTAGGATGGGACATCTTTTCTTTTATTATTCTTCTTATTACTTTTTTCTTCTTTTTTTATAAAAGCTGTATGGTATTAAGATAAGCAAAACTAGTTAACAACTACTGGTTTTTATACGCTATAGTGGATATATACAAATATATAAATGCATATATATATATACTTCTGCTGGTAGACTATTCCATCCATCAACGCCCCTATTGCTGAAAAAATATTGCCTTCTCATATGTATGTACATATATATATATATATATATATACATATATATATATATATATATATATATATATATATATATATATATATATATATATATATATATATATATATATATATATATATATATATATATATATATATATATATATATATATATATATATATATATATACAGTGGTTTTCATAAATTTAGACGCACTCATATTTGAGAATAGAAAATTTTAGGTATTTTAACGATAAAACAATGACGAAAAAAGATTTCGGTTTAGTTTTTTTTCTATTTATCAGATAAATACATACAGAATACAAAATTTAAAAAAAGTTTACAAAAAAAAATAAAATACTAAGTAATAATTAGGTACAACTACATGATATTAAAAAAATTAGACAAAAAAAATTATTCATAAATTTAGACGCACGATACATTAGAAGGCGTAATTTATGAACCAATCAATATTTTGTGTATCCGCCTTTTGCTTTAATACAACTAAGAACTCTTCTAGGCATAGACTCAACAAGATTTTTGCACATCGCTTCTGGGACCCCATACCAGGTCTCCTTAAGGAATTCCTTCAGCTGACCAAGTGTAGAAATTTGAACCTTTGCTAATTCACGATCAATCCAAGCCCAAATGTTTTCAATCGGGTTCAAATCAGGTGAATATGGAGGCCACGGTATTTTCATAATATTATTATCGTTGAACCACTCCTTTGTATAGTATGCAGTATGTGCAGTAGCGCTATCTTGTTGAAGTTTCCATGGTTTATCATTGAGCATAAGCAGGTCAATTGATGGAATTAGGTTGTTTTCCAGTACTTCTACGTATATTCTGGAGTTGATTTTTACGGTGTATGTTTGGCATATACCAACACCTTTGTAATTGAAGCATGACCAGATTCCTATCGAGCCTCCTCCACTTTGTACAGTTGGTCTAATGTACCTGGCGTAATACTTTTCGTGAGCCATTTTTTTGACTGTTATCTTAGATTTGCGATTGATAAGCTCAAAGTTACTCTCATCACTCCACATAATGTTTTCCCATTGATCTATTGTCCAATACCTTCTTTCACGACACCATTTTAGTCTCCTTTGTTTATCATATGGACGCAGAAGCGGTTTCTTCAAAGCAGTGTAGACTCCAATCTTGTATTTGATAAGTATTCGACGGACTGTGCTTTGAGAAATAGATGTATTTCGCATTGTATTGAATTCTGTGGTCAATTCTTTGTAACTAATTCTTGGATTAGCTCTGACAGCTCTAAAAAGAACACTATCGTCCTTTCTCGTGGTTGACAAGGGTCTACCTGGCCTCGTTTTCTCGCTGGCACCACCAGTGTGAAAAAAGTTTTGTTTCGTTGTCCAAACGCATTTCTCAGAAACTCCAATTAACTTGGCAATTTCTCTATTACTTTTGGTTCCTTCTTTGATGTGCGCAATAATTTGCCATCTTTCACCTTGAGTGATACGTCTTTTGCCCATTTTTTACGTTTATTTAGTGCAAAACTAAGTTAACTTTTGTTTATTTATTAAATAATGATTAAATAATTCCAGGTAAGTCATATTTATATAAGGTTTTTTGACAAAATCAATTAATTTAGGCCTATTAATGAGAAATATAAGAAAAAAACTACTAATTAACTATCAATTAACAAGATATAAGACTTTTTTAATTGTGCGTCTAAATTTATGAACAAAATAAAATCAAGTTTATCAATTAACTTTTTTGTGTTAATCGGTATAAAATGAGTAATAAACATCCTGTAAAAAAAATTAAGGTACTCTATAATAGAGTTTCATTTCCTCTTTTAAATTATATATCAAACATAGCGGTAGCACTTTTTTATTTTTATTTTGAGTATTTTCTTACATATATGAAAAAAAAATGAATGCGTCTAAATTTATGAAAGCTACTGTATATATATATATATATATATACTAGACACTTTCTTACTCTGGATTCTATTCTCTATCTCTATAAATAGAGATAGAGAATAGAATGCAATCTTGTATGGAATACTGTTGCCATATCTGGGGTGGATCTTCTAATGATGCCCTTTTTCTTTTAGACAAGGTGCAAAAACGCATTGTAAACATAGTTGGACCTGCTCTTGCAGCCAACCTTATTTGTCAAAAACTCTTATTTGTCTAGTTTTTTTCCTGAAATATAAACAGAATTTAATATATTTCAGAAAAAAATTGCAGTTAAATGTTTAATAAAAAATATTTTTTGTTATCAAACCTTTTACAAAATTTTTAGCTTAATTAAACAATAATAAAAATTATTGTAGAAACTAAAATAGAAAAATAAAAATAAAATAAAATTCTTAAACTTTTATACACTAATGTATTTCTATATAAAAAACCTTGAGCTTATCTTTAAAAAATGTGCAAGACCATCAGTTTTAGTTTTCAACATGGTTATAATTAGTTGAGCTATACATATGTGTCACCTGTCACTATAAGTGAGCTACAAATGAAATATAGTATCTAAAACAATTTACAAATTGCAACTTTTAAAGCAAAGTACTTGTAAAAAAGATATAATTCTGAATAAAAACTTTGGCATGAAAACTATTTCTTAAACAATATATTTCAAAACCTAACAATATATATATATTTTTTAATTCTTACTTTTTTAATTTCACAAGTTTCAAATGATCGATAAAAACGCAAGCAACGCTCAATAAGATATAAAAACATTGGTCCAACAATCCATTTCCAGGTCTATAGATGTTTTTAAAATAAAACAATTTTTTTTCAAACTTTGACAAATTAAAAATAACAAATATAGAAGAATTAAATAAAGAAAAATAGTAAACACAATTTTTATCAATTTATTAAAAATACAAACTGAAGTTTTTAAGGTTACTTTTAAAATAGTTGAAGAGAAAAAATATAAAAAATTTTGAAGCTTTGACTAAGTACCTCTGGACCTTTTGCAGAAAACTGTGGTAGAGGACACATAGTAAAATTTTTTATGCATTTTTCTGGATTACTCTGTGCAACATTATTTTGAGAACGAACCAAATTGCTAAATTAGAATATTAGAAAATTTTTTAGTATTTTCAATCATATTCTAAAAAACTAAAAATTTTTAACTTCGAATTCACAATAAACTTAACTAGTATTTTTGACTAGTCTAAGTGTTTTGACTAGACTAAGTCTTTTTGTAACTTAAAAAAAATATCAATGCTATTTTATAATAATACTAATAAAGTTAAAATAGTAATATACAAACTGTACTAAAGTACTATACTGAGCTAAACTGATTTAAATATTAGATTTAAAGTAATTTAAAAACTTTTGATTTTTGCATCATAATTCATCAATATTTGCGCCAATAAAGTAAAAAAATAGCTATTTTGTATTTTTTTTTATTCAAGAAAGAGACGACGACTTTCTTTCTATTATCTTACGTCAATAAGTGATGCAAAACACTTTTTTTAATATACTAAGTTTTTTATGTAAATATAATTTTTATAAAATACTTAGCAGCTAATTTAGACAATGAGCTGACAAATGAATAATTTCCAGCTACGTGCAATGCAAGTAAACAAGATTTCAAGTCAAGTAGTTTTAGTTACTAATTATATCAAAAGTCCCAATTACCTTGTATTATAAAAAGTACAGCAAATGTTAAAAAAAGTCTCTTTTGACTAGAATTTTTTACCTTGTCTCTTAAGCTGCATTTTATTATCGTCGAAATGTCAAAGCAATTAAATTAATGCAGAAGTACATTAAATTTTATTGTTTTTTATAAAAACTGCAATAATAATGACTAGAAAGTTTTTTTTAATTAGTAGTGTTTTTGTTTTTGTTTTATTAAAAACATTTTTAAAACATGCGTAAGTGTTGATACACCGACTATCTTATAACCTGCTGCTACAAGGGAGTGTTGCTATATCGACTATCTTATAGCCTGACTCGCAACGGAGTGCTGCTACATCGACTAACAAATAGCCTGACTCGCAAGGGAGTGCTGCTACATCGACTGACAAATAGCCTGACTCGCAAGGGAGTGCTGCTACATCAACTGAAGGTTTGGTTTGGGCAGTGGAGTACTGATGTAGCAGTACTCCACTGCGAGTCAGGCTATTTGTCAGTCAATGTATGTACTAAAGCCCCCAGCAGCAGGCTATTTCAGTATGACGTCAGATTGCTTACCTTAGTACACAATACTATTTGTATATATATATCTATATATATATATCTATATATATATATATATATATATATATATATATATATATATATATATATATATATATATATATATATATATATATATATACACACACATATATATATATATATATACATATATATATATATATATATATATATATATATATATATATATATATATATATATATATATATATATATATATATATATATATATATATATATATATACATATATATATATATATATATATATATATATATATATATATATATATATATATATATATATATATATATATATATATATATATATATATATATATATAAATATATATATATATAGGTCATTTATTTTGTTATATTATAATAAATATTTATTATCATATTAATAGTTTATAATACTCTTAACTTATAATTAGTTTTTTAATTTTTTATTTAAGTTATATTTATTATTTTACAGTTGCCTGTTTGTTTTACTGTTAATTCATTATCATTCGTCATTGTTATTGTTAATACTTTTTATACTAATTTTATATTTACATGCTTTACTATTAATACTACATTACTGTTTATCAATGATTTTTTACAGAATTTTTTTACAGAATTTTTTTTTACAGAACTTTTTGCAGAATAAAAAATTGTTTAAATGTTTTGTATTAATATATATATATATATATATATATATATATATATATATATATATATATATATATATATATATATATATTAATACAAAACATTTTAATTTTTTTATTACTATACTATTATAACCATTGGCATCATGAGGAGAATATTATATTTAGTTTATGTCAACAGTTTTACAATGGTCAACGACCGCTCGAAATGACAAAAATTGCTATTTTGACCTCCCAAATGAATTCTTGCCATTGATATTATGTTCACGGTTGTCATGGTTAACCAATTAAAAAAAAAATTATTTTATATAGCAACTTTTTTTACTGATTATATTTATCAACATATTTCAACAATATACATTAATAAATAACTTACAAATAATTTCACTTTACTAATGCCACTTCAAACTTTATGAACTGTGTATCAATTGTTTATTTTGTATACTTTGTTTTCTTATGATAATTTCTTACACATAAATTTGGGAAAACTTGTGAATTATTGAATAATATTGGCACGACTCAGTAGTGCTTTGTGCCAGAGTTATAGACATTAGAAAAATAATAGTAAAGGCAGAGGATTAGTTAATATTTCGAGGTGATCAAGAAAATGCAACTCTTGATGCATGTTTTTTAAGAAATGTCAAAACCAAATTTTCAAAGTTTAAAGTACTGTTAACATTCCATTACATTTAACTGCTTTAAAAAATTGATTTAATTTCATGCACTTTAAAAACATTTGTTAGAATGGTATTATATGGAAATGTAATTCTATTCAAACAAAGTCAGGGTAAAAAATATGTCAACAATTATTTAGCACTTACTACAATAACAATTACTATGGTAAAACAAATTTTTAATATAGTTAAAAAAGTCTTGAATCAAATCAAATCCTAACCAGCTAACCAACCTGTATATTTTAATGGGTAAATTACACTAATAAATAACTAATTTATCTATAATTGGAGATTGTTTTGAAGAGAGTATTGTCATAAATGATGGTTGGTGTGATGCCATAAACTAGGCCAGCATAACAACCTTCAGATAAGCTAAATTTATAATAACTGGTTAAAGAGTAAAATGATCAAGATATGCAAAAAAAAAAAAAATTATTAGCTGGTTTATACTTGTGACTGAAACATTTGAATAAAACTTCTTTTGGATTTCTTTTAAAAAATAAATTTGTTTATACTGCTTCAGATGACATCATACTGAAATAGCCAAGAGTGGGAAATTCTTCAGATTTTTAGAAAAAACATCCTTAGCTATGACTATAGACTAAGCACATAAGAAAATAAATCATCAAAGGAGATAGTGACTTAATAGATTTATTAGGAAACCCATCTGCATTAATAAAATAAATGGTTTGCCAACCGCCACTTACTAAGCTTCTTAATGGATATGGAGAAGGAGATAGAAAAAAGAAGAAAAAAAAAGATAGAAAGAAAAGATACACCTGCCTAATTATAATGAACACGGATCTGAGTTTGCAACAACATATACTATAAACAATATAAAAGGATCGTTACTTACTTTATTAGTGTAAATATATTACAGGTAAAAATATGTGTTTTAGTATAAATCAATTTCATATTTTTAATTTTTATTCTACAAAGGGAGTATCACACTTTTGCTGTAAGAGTGAAAACAAATATTCACATTACTAACACACAGAATATGTGAAAAACTTAAGACACTGTTAAATCTGACTTAACAACTCAGATTGAGGAGTTGTATAACATATTGCAATATTTTTATGATTTAAAAATCATTCTTCCAAACAATTCAACTATGCAAAAAGTGTGATTGAGTGATCTCTATTAACAAATAATATTGGTGCAATATTGTTTACAGTATATAAACTATATAAACAATATTGCACCAATGTTGTTTGCTATGCAGGCTTACTAAAAATGATTGAAGTAAAGTCTCATTTTGTTTAAATTTTTATAACTATTTTTGTTAAATTCAAAATCATTGTTATTATTTTATAACTATTATATCAGGAAAATTATAATTTTAATTTTTAGTGTTTAAATTACTTGGTAAATTACATTTAATGAATTAATTTTATATTATAATCTTAATCAAGCTAGTTTTTAAAGCTTCTTTAAAGAACATAATATCAATGGCAGATGTATTTATTAAACTCAATATTCACTATATAGTGGTGTTGTTATTCTTGACCAAGATAACTTTTTAAGAAAATAAACTGTAGGAAATTTTTTTTTAAAAATCTAGAGTGAATTTGCATGTGAACTGGAGTTACTACGCTTTTTACATAAACACTTTATATAAACTTTTTTTTTTAAACATCTTCACTTCCAACAAGGCTGCAAGCAACGCTTTTCAAATGATGCTCTTCACATAAACACTTATAAGGTTACATTTATATTTTATTCAAAATTTGAAGATATTTTAATAAAAATAGTTTGGAAATTTACAAAAGTAAATATGTCAATACTGCCGTGCTAAGCAAAAAAACAGTATCTCCAATTTTGGTCAAAATTGAGATATTGCTACCAATGGTTAACAATGTGGTTTAATACCATTTTTCGCAACAAAAAAGCATTATATCCAATATTTAACATTGAAAATAAGCATTTGAAATTAAGAAAATAAACCATAGACATATAATAAGTCCATAATTTTTGTGAAACTAGAAGCAAAAATACAGTAAATCCCAATAAGTAGCAAATAAGCAGTAAGTGACGTGGAGTTACTGTTACTTCGCTAATTTTCAAAACATTTTAATCGTAACAAAAATACGATTAAAATGTTTTGAAAATAAGCTTGTTTTAGCCGATTTCCCGACATTTTGCTTAGATGGTGATACTGCTTTTTTGCTTAGCACGGCAGAATACTACACAACTAAAACCTTTATGCATTGAGTGTATTTTCACAACTAAAACCTTTATGTATTGAGTGTATCTTCAGAAAAACAATTAATGAACATTAGTAATTTGAAAAGTTTTTTTAATTCTTTGTTTTACAATATTATATACAATATTTAAATGGAACCTTTTTTAAATAAAATCAAGTTATTACATATTTTGTTTAAAACAATAAAATAAATATTAATTTTATTATTAACTATAGTAATTTAAACAAAAAAGATATTTTAACAGTAGATCAGTAGAACAATAGAATAATTGCTAATATCTTTCCCTCCTCCTCACCACAAGTTAAATCCATTTAACTTATAAATTCTATTATGATCTCATCAGTGATGCTTTGGGTACAGATAAATTCACTGTAGACTAGAGAGCCCACTATGTTTGATGGAGTGTCACCTAGAAGTTTTTTCATTATAATGAATTGTTTATATTATTGTAACATGATTTAAAAAAGTTAAAATCAATTTCACTTGTTAAGAGTAAAAAACAAATCTAAAACTCTGACCCAACTTCCAACTAATATTATGTCGTCACAACATTAAATGTGAATGTAATTTTTAATGAAATCTATTGATGAATTTTTATTAAGTTTTAGATGGTACAAAAGTTTTTCTTAAAACCTTATCTACCACAAGTGGACATGAGTGCCTCAATTTTAGGTTTTTATTTATCCCAATGCTAAATCTTGTAATTTTTTCTAAAACATATTTATTTTACAATAAAATAGAAAAGCTTTGTATTATAATACAATCTCAATATATAATTATATGATATAATTTCCTATTGTCCTAATTATTGCCTTATTGTCCTAATTATAAACAATGACCAAATAAGTTCTACTGCATATATATTTTTAAATCCCACTTTTGGTCAGAGTTGGGCTCAAATACAATTGATCAAATACAAATACATTATTTCTAGATATCCAAATACAACTTCAAATATAAATATATATAATTGGCGTTTCCCTAATACAATTACAAAATAAAAATATTTGTATTTTAGGTTAAGAAAAAAAACAAATAATTTTAACTTTTTTTTTTTTAATTTTTAGAACTAATGATCAACTTGAATTTAATAAGTTTATTACAAATCTTTAATTAAAATTTTATTTATTATATATATTTTTATATGATTATTAAACAAAATTATGTTGTAAGTTTAAAAAATAAAAATACAAACCCAAAAGCAATGTTAGCCAATTTTAAAAATGAAAAGATTTATTTTTAAAAGAGAAAACATTAATTTAAAAAAGATTAAAAAATTACAAACCAGCAAGCAATGTTAGCCAATTTTAAAAATGAAAAGATTTATTAATGAATAAAAATTACTTTTAAAAACAACCCTGCAAGTAATTTAGTAGCATATATTTATATAAAAGGTCGAGTTAGTATCAAATGAAAGAAAAGATTATAAAAAGAAGAATGAAAACAAATCTTTTAACACATATCAATTGAAAAAAAAATTTACATTATTTTAATCTTAAAAAAAGAAAAGATTTTTTGTTACAACAACAACAAAAATTGATCTCTTGGTTTTTCTCAAAAAAAAAAAACTTACTCAACCATTTTATGGAACAATAAATACAAATGTAAATATGTGTTTGTGTGTGTAAAATGTGCGTATAATTCTGATTCACTCCTAAGAAGGCTACAAGCAATCGTTACTAAGTTGGGAGAAAGAAAGAAAAAAGAATAGAGTTAAAGATCAAAGAAACAGTTGACAAATGACTTGAAAGGTTGTAGGTTGTATGAGTTAGGAAAACATGGAGACTTGAAGTCAAGCATGAGTTTTAGTTGATAGAACTAGGGATGATAGCTTCTTTGAGCAGCCTGATAGTATTCATAGAAAAGAGAAAGAAATGCAACTTTATAAGGATGGGAGAGAGGCTCAATCTTTGCAGATAAAGCGAGTCTTGGCAGATAAAGCGAGTCTAACTAAACTTACATTACGTTTTTGGATCTTGTTTAGAAAAGAAAGAGCATCATTAGAAGAACCAGCACAAATATAACAACATAAAAAATATGCCTAAAATTTTAAAATCTATTGTTTTAGTTTTTTTTAAATAGTTTTTTTCCATTTTTTTTTTTTTTTTAATTGACAGTATAAGTTTGTCTCAATCTTTTAGTTCATGATCATCTAAATAAAATCTTTTAGTTCATGATCATCTAAATAAAATCTTTTAGTTCATGATCATCTAAATAAAATCTTTTAGTTCATGATCATCTAAATAAAATCTTTTAGTTCATGATCATCTAAATAAAATTTATTTTCATGGTGACATTTTGAGTTCTTTGAGTTGAGTTCTTTTGGGTTTTTGTATGAAATAGTTTAGCAAGCAAAGTAAATATCTTTTTAATAAACTGTTGTGATTTGAAACTTTTTTGAATTTATTGACCAGTTGATGATATATTTTTTTTATAATATTGCAATAATATTTCAAGAGAGTAGTAGAATTTGGGAGGTTTTTGTTTTTAAAAGACTGTTTATGGTTTGACCATCTTTTTTTTCACTCTCCTGCTGATATACTTATATAAATTTTATCAGGTTTCTTTTGTTAAACTTAACTTTTTGTTAAACTTTTTTGTTAAAAGAAATTATTTCAAAAAATTCAGAAACAAATTTAGTATGCAATTGTAGACAAAAAACAGTTGTCTCTTGAATTTTAACTTCCGAATATCTAACATAGTTTATAAATGCCTAGCAATTACACAAAAGATACATGATAAAATTTATATATATTATCTCAGAATGAGAGTGGAAAAAAAGATGGTCAAACCATAAACTGACTTTTAAAAACAAAAACCTCCCAAATTCTATACTCTCTCAAAATAATATCGAAATATATATAGAAAAAAATATATAGCACCAACCCTAACCTGGCCTCCCCATAGCTGAGTACATAATTTATGGATGACCCCATGGAAATAAATTTCCAACCCTAAATATTGCTTTTGAGGACTTGATACTGAGTGCGCATAATCGCTTGTTAATAAAGTATTTCACTGTATGTATATATATGCACTGTATGTATATATATATATATACATATATATATATATATATATATATATATATATATATATATATATATATATATATATATATGAAATATAAATTAAAATTACCTACCCAAAACCATGGAACACCAATAAAACAAAAAAGATAACAAACAAATGGTGAGTAAACCAAAAAACTTCAAAATATGATCGTCTAAAGATTTCATTTGAAACAATAACCAATAAAATAATTGAATTGAATTTTATTACATATATTTCATTTTTAAAACAGAATAAACATTTTTTGTCTCAACAATTCTTCAGTCTTATCAGTGATTAATTTTTTGACTAAATTATCGTTTTGACCACAATATATTTTAATATAATTTCACATATCCACTTAAAAAATTTTATAGCATACCTTATTAACTCAGTTGATGAAGAAACCTAAAAAAAAATAAAATAAAAAAAATATATATTATATTATATACACACACAGACACACAGACACACACACATATATACATATATACATATATATCAAGCTTTTTCAGGAAATGTGTGCGGTAAAAATATTATATGCATGCTTATATGACCATGCATATAATATTTTTTTGACAACTTGGCCATGGTTCCTTGCATGTTTTAAGTTACCACATTAAAAATGAATATGTTTTTATTTTAATTTAAGTGTTTCACTACAAAGAATTTAGAGAAAATTGAAGTTTTAAAGTTATTAATTGAAGTTTCAAAGTATTTAATCCAAGCGAAATTACTTTGAAACATAATTAATTAAAAACTTGAAACTTTGATATTTTCTAATGTTTACAAATAAAACTTAAAAATACAATTATTCATTAAAAGGATTTGAACCATCAACTAATTCTGATATAACAGTTGTGCCTCATAAATGACACAATTAATGAACCTATGTGTTACATGAACATGGCGATATAGGGATAAATTATTAGAGAGATGCTTCTAAATTAAAAGATATATTAGTTTTATGCTTTTATTTTCTCTGGTTTATTCTTTATTTAATTTATCACTTGTTGAGTTTGTTTATTTTTAATGTTAGTTCCTTTATAAATAAATTCAATATCTAGATATTTACAACGATTTAAAAAAACCAGCAAAAGATTTAATCGTGTTGATTTTGCCTAATATATTTAACTAAAAACAATGCTTGAAGAAATCATTCAATTTGGCAACTTCTTTGATTAATCTGAGGCAGATGCCTTAAAGACAATATGAGGTTTAACTTGAGCATAGGCACTTACTACATGATTGCTGCACATTTCTCTCTGGTCAAAAATTTCATGAATTGAAAGTTAGTTGTCACAAAACAAAACTGTAAGCAATATGCAAAAAGACTAAGGAAAAATAAGTTTTCTATATTAAATCAAGAGGGAAACCATATGATGCCAAGCAATTTATAGCAGACAATCCACACAACTACATCGAACATGTTCACCTGAGGATAAGAGTTGGTTTAAGGTCCATTAACTACCTGAGTGTTAGTTGTACCATTATAAGGACCACAAAAGCAAATTGAGAAGGAATAAATGAATTTATTCCTTCTCAAATATTTTAATAGCACTTGGATTAAAAAAAAGTCAATTTAAAGGACTTACTCGAGTTAAGAGCGCACAGAAAACAAAATTTTTGTGAAAGTGCCACCAACTGGTCTATCAATGAGCTGTCTGAAATCCAAGTTTTAACAATAGTCATTCTTATTTTAAAATAAAACATAAACATTAATTTAGTGTTCCTTTAACATATAAAAAAGTAAATTTGTTAATGATCTTACTTTATACTGACAATTATGGTGAAATCTTAATGACATAATAAAAAAAGTTTTAAGTATTACTATGAATGCTAATGAAATTCAAGTTAAGGAAGCAAGTTTCTTATCTGAAACAAATGGAATTTTAGATATAATGTAGGAAAACATTGGGATATTTGTATTGCCCTATTCTCGACTTAAATGACAAATATGACATTTTTCATTTGATATCTAAAGTTGCAATTGCTCTTCATGCTGTTGAAGATTTTTCATCAGAAAAAGTGGGAGAAATAATTGACAATAAATGCAATAGACTTTCCATACAAAATGAGGAATGGTTAATTTGGACAAAACTTTACAAAAAGAGTTGGTTCAAATAATGTTTCAATTTTGTAATATATAGTAAAAAAAAAAACATAAATTTGGATTGCCCTGTTTTATGCCCCATGATTATATAAATTCTTGAACTAGTAATTTCATTTAAGATTTGATTCATATTAAAAATCTGATTCACAAGGCCCTAATATAAAGTAAAAAAACTGGGAATAACTTATGACTCATCTAAAAACTCACAGATTATCAAAAATATGACATAAAAATTAACTTTAACTGTTATTGTGTTTTTGAAATTTATTTAGTCTAGTTGTGAACAAGTTGTCCATTTCTATAAGAAATACTCTGTAAAAACTACAATGCTCTAGAAAATTGAAGTGTCACAATGACTATGAAATCTCCCAAAATGCTTGAGATCCTCAAAAAAAGGTAACCTAAAAAAAAGTACAAAAAATATTTTACAAGTTGGCACTGCTGAAATAATGAAAAGTTTATACTTAGATTATCAGTTTTGAACTAATCAAAGGAAATTTGTTATCTAGCATTGATGCCAAAGATCTTTGATGTAAGCTATTGCATATAAGCAAGCCTGCTATCAAGAACAACCATCAAGAAATTGGTTGATGAAACCAACCAATCAGATATCAGATAGGAAAACTGCTTTAAAACTTTTAAATTTTAAAATTTAACAAACTGCATATTAAAATAAAAATTTTTAATGAATTTAATAAAAAAAAATTTTTAACTTTTATTTTTAAATGCATTTTTTTTTTTATACAAAAAGTATTGTTTTTATGGATTCAGAATTCTGAGAATAAGCTTTTATATCACTGTACACTAATTATTTTGATTATATAGATTTCAAAATTACAACGAGTTTACTGATTTTCATAGACATAACACAAATTACATTATGGACCAAATAAAGTAATAGACCATACAAGATTACACACATATCTGAAATAAAATGTTAAAAATTAAAAAAAAACAAAAAAATTGAAATAAAAACATACCATCACTATGAGAGCTATTGTGATAATCACGCCAGTCACACCAGCAACTTAAAAAATAAAGTTAAATTGTGATAATCACGCCAGTCACACTCGCAACTTAAAAAATATAGTTAAATTGTGATAATCACACCTGTCACACCAGCAATTTAAAAAATATAGTTAAATTGATCAAACTTGTCGTTTTTGAAATAAGATAATTAGCACAACATTATGACAGTAAAAATAATGACATCATAATTTATTTTAACATAATAAAAAATAAATTTATGAAATAACTAGTAATAAAACTTTGATATAATTATGACATAATAAAAAATAAAATAATTAGTAAAAAAATTATGATACAACTACCAATAGAAATTTTGGCATAATTATGACACATTATCACATAATAAGAAATAAAATAATGAGATAATTTAAGTAATAATAAAACTTGTAATATAGTTAAAATGTATATTTTGACATAATGAGAAATGAGATAAGTAGTAGCCAAAATCTATTGTATCTGTATTAGTATCTGTTGTAAATAAAATCACTGTATTTTACTAAAAGCTGATTGGTGTCATCAAATGTTATCAAAAGTCTGTGCTATGTTATGCTATATAAAAATATGATAAAAATATATAAATATATATATAAAGATAACACAACCTATTTAATAATAACAGAAAATTATTAAATTTTTTTTGTTAAAAGTAATTTTATTTTTAATGAAAACTAAAACTTATATCCAAATTAATATATAAAGATTACTTATATAATTTATTTAATAACCCAAAAACAAAAACATAAAAATACAAATATAGCTTAGCAACAACATCTAACATCAATTTCACATCAAATGGCAACTGTTTTGACTAACTACATTGACAAATCAAAGTGTTAAAGTAGAAATTTTTTTTTGCCTACACAACAAAACAATATTACTTTTTTTGCTGAACAAACCTGATCCATGATCAATGTCAAAATTAAATATTTTACATTGATCACACACATATATTTATAAGTATTATACTTGTATATACCGTATATACATATATATCTTATGCCTATATACATAAAAATCATAAAACATCATATTAATTTTGGGAATAGACAAGAGCTTTAGTAAATAGATTGACTGACAGTTAGTGCAGAAAATATTCAATTTCAAAAAAGACCTATTACTGCAAAAAAAATTTGAATCAGAAACAGGGTAGCTACATTAAGCATGGTATGTAGTTACATAATACAAAATCCAGAAATTTTAATAACTTAGAAATAGTCTTCAGATAAATACAGGGAGAATAATAAAAAATAATAATAGTATACTATTTCTATAAAATTCTAACATAAAACAAACAAACAAACAAAATTTAAAACATAATAATACTTTATTAATATTACTTTAATAACTAGGAAAACCATTTAGAATAAAATTTTTACCTGTTTTTAGTAGCTCAATGATAGGATCCTATAAAACATAAAATGCATAAATAAAAGTAAAAACCTTATCTTAGTAATAATAAGAAATAAAACATAATAAAAAAATTTATTAAATCTTATCATACTAACATGTAATGAATGAGAGGTCCTGCAGAATGTAATGAGCTACAGGTCTTGTTGAATGTAATGAGCGACAGGACTTGTTAAATGTAATGAATTAAATAACTTTGATCTTTACTTATATTTTTATATTAATGAAACACATTTAAATAAAGTATCAAATCACTGCTAATGATTTTTTGTATAAAGTATTAATGAATATCGTATATATTTTTTTATACTTATATTTATTATTATAAATGTTTTCAAACAAAAAAATTTTATCAACTTTTTAAAGGAACGATTTAATTATTTTTTTTGTTATGTTTATATTACTACAAAGAATTGTTAAGAATCTTTTTTTTTAACTTCTAAATCTGCGTAAATATATTAAACAATTGTTAGATGTAATTTGTTACTTTATTTAAAAGTGATTTGCATAATATTATATTATAAAAACATTATTAAAGACTCAATATACCCAATGCAATTTAATTAATCTTATTGTTATAGTTTATTATTTTAGTAAAGTTTAAATTTTACTTTTTTGAAAAATAACTCAACTAAACTCACTAAAGCCTGATGAGTGGCAGGTCTTGTTAAATGTAATGAATGAATTGTTGAATGTAATGAGTGATAAATCTTGTTAAATGTAATAAATGACAGGTCATGTAGAGTGTAATGAGTGACAGGTCTTGTTGAATGTAATAAATACAGGTCTTGTCAAATGTAAGGAGTGACGGGTCTTATTAAATAGGTTTTATTAAAATAGGTCTTAACTCATACCAAAATTTGTATAAAACTACTTATAAAAGTGTTTTTATTTTCATACTCAATAATAATTAAGTACATAAAAAGTCATCTAACTATTTTAATTAAATTAGAAATATATATAAATTAAAAACAAGCCATAGGTTTAGAGAAAACCCTTTTATCTACGTATCGCTCTCCCGAAAAAATATTTTTTTAACTAGACAGGTTAAATAAACAAAAAAAAAATTCTTTTATGTTTATTTTATAAATTTAAAAAATTAAAATTAAAAGACATTTGAAAAAAGAATGCAAAAATATATTAAAGAGTTTTTTTATATATACATTACTTGTATAAATACACAAGGATCCGTTCTAGGAACTCTTCTATTTGTTTTATACATCAATGACATTACAGAACTAGTTAGCAATCCAATGCAGTTATATGCTGATAACAGCAAAGTTATCAACAAAGGAGCTTCTCGATTCCACTTACAATAAAAGAGTTCTTGGCATTTACATTTCACACAACCTCAAATGGGACATGCATGTTAAAATAATATCATTAAAACCTAACTTAGTCCTGAACAAAAGAAAGCTTTTTTCATATTTATCACAAATGTACAAGTCTGGAAGTGACTCTACATGTCACTGGTCAGACCTCATCTCAAGTATGCTGCTCCTGTATGGAATTCTCTCTCTGCACACATTAAAATAATTCAAAACTGCCACCAAAGCAATTTGGCTTCTCAGAGGGTAATCCAGTGAAGCCATATTATCACATCTTCATCGAAGTGATTTAATCTACAACTTCAAGTTTATTAATAGAAAATATTTGTTAGCTAAACTCACATATAGGCAATCCATCTGTTCAAATAACTTGAGAACACTCTCAGCAAAGTTTTTCAATGAGTTTTTCAATGCTTCCAACCTCAACAACAAGACTAAATTAACTATTTAGGCCATTAAGTACTAACAGTCTTATCACAGAACACCCACAGAATAGCATTTAACCAAAAACTTCATGTCTCCTTTCTTACTAATGATGCATATATGACCAGAGCTGGTTTAGAACCATGGACCTCCATGTATGTATGTATGTATGTATGTATGTATGTATGTATGTATGTATGTATGTATGTATGTATGTATGTATGTATGTATGTATGTATGTATATATATATATATATATATATATATATATATATATATATATATATATATAAATATATATATATATATTAAGCTATTGCGATATTCATAAAAGTCGATATTGTCGATACTACGATATTACATAAACACATTATCGAACTTCGATATTGAAACTGGATATATTTTTACTGAATTTCGAACTTATCGATATTCAGTTCGATATTTTACGATATTATACGATATTAAACAAGATTCTAGAATTTTATAATGCTATTTTTGTGTTTAAGACCCATTTTTTCTAATTAGAGGAATTTGAGGGGTCTAATACCGTAAGTTATCTTCAATATTTGAAATATGTTTTCAGCAATTTGGAAAAAAAATTATAGCTCAATTAATTGTATATTTTTTCATAAACAGTTTTACAAAACAAAAATTAGTCTATCGCGTCAGCTGATGATTTTCTTCCTCGATTAGCCATTTTTTAATAGTAACTTTACTAATGTTGATTTTAACGTACACAAGTTTTTCTATTGTCTCGGCTTTTAGTAAAGTTCTTTTACATGACACAATATTTCCGGCTTGTGAAAACACACGCTCTGAAGAAGTTGATGACGCTGGGACACACAAGACTTTCTTAGCAGCTCTAGACAAAATTGTAAGTTGAGGTGAATGAATTTTCCACCATTCCAAAATATTGTAATTTTTATCTGGAAATCCAAGCCTCTTGTAAGCTTCTAGTTCTATATCAAATGGAGAATCTTTTGATGATCTGTAAAGCTCAGAGGCATTAGAATCCTGACCCATCATTTCAAAAAGAAGTTGTTCGGCAGGAGACAAATCTTGTTTGGGTGACACTGTTTGTGTTGTATTTTCAATCAAATGACTCATTGCTTTTGCTGGACCAAAGATCTGAAGTAAATCCAACTGCATCTACATCTTTTAAGTCATGTGTTAAAACATTAAGAACTGCCTCAAAAACATTAGAATAAAGGATTGGAAGTTTGTTTCTTGAATATGTTGATGGTGCTCTAATAATAATTTCTGGACGAAGGCTTAATAAAAAGTCTTTAAAAGCAGGTGATGAAACATGTTGAAAAGCTAAATTTCCCATGCACAAATATTTCACAATATCCAAGTCAGCTATTAACTGTCGCTTGTCGTTTGTTCCATATTTTGTCACAACCTTGCAATACGATGAAATGTCCATCTTTACTCTTTTTGCACTTAGAGCTATTGGCCCATGAGTGTCCAAAATTGATTCTTGTGCAAGCTGCTCAGCTGTTGTTTCTGGTGCTCGTTTTAAATTTTCTTTCCCAATGTTGAGAAAAAATTCATTATGACAACCTCTGATGTGAACCTTCAAACCAGTCGTAGTGCTCTGTTTGGTGCCTATTTGTGTTGGGCATAGCTTACACTGAGCAATATCTTTTTTTGGTGTGTCTCTTAAAAAATACGCCCAAAAGGGACTTACTCTTGGCATTTTCAACAAAAAATATCACAACTTTTCTCACTTATAACTTCTATTAGTAACTAATTTTGAAAAAAATATTTATAAGGTTATATCAAAAGTATTTGAGTATTGAACAAAAATTAAGACATCAATTTTTGGTAAAGCTACAGTTAAGCAAAATATAAAAGCAAAGAAGATTTATTTTATTCTAATAAGAGCAAAGTAAATTTATTGTTTAGAAATAAGTTGTTTGCGGAATTTAATGTTTTATGCTTTATTTTATATATTGTTTTCTTATTATTTTTTATATATTATTTGCTATTATTTTTTTTTTATTTTATTACTATTATATTATATTTTATTTATAAAAATATATTTATTATTATAATTATTTACCTTCAACTTTAATATAAAACTTCAACTTTTAATTAAATCTTTTAATTTCAAATTCACAACCCGTAACATTTATTATTACATAACATAATTAAGTTTCGCTTTAAAAATACGCTCCATCGTGTTTTTAAAAAGCGAAAAAATATAATTATTTTAGGCCGCTTAACTGTAGCTTTACCCAGTTTTTAATTTACACTTAATTTTTAGCATTTTTAATTACTTTTCAGTTTGGCGGGAAAGTTTAGCTGGGAAATTTTAGGAGGGACAGTTTAGAGTATAACAGTTGATTTTTATTAAAGTTTGAATATTAGTATCGATATTTTAGTTTGAATATCGAGATTCTTTCGATATTGCTGTGAAAGGATATCGAATAATATCGAAACTTCGATATTATTAAAAAAATTTCAATATCGACAACTCAATATCGAACCTGGTCAAAATGTCGATATTTTAGCATGTTTCGATACTACGATACTGATATCGCAATACTTTAATATATATATATATATATATATATATATATATATATATATATATATATATATATATATATATATATATATATATATATATATATATATATATATAGATATATATATATATATATATATATTTATGTAAATAAATATATATATATATATATTTATATATGTATATATATTAGGGCTGTACCGGATTTAATTTTTTCAAATCCGGCCGGAGCCGGATTTGCCGGATTTCTACTGACAGATCCGACTGGAATTGGAGCCGGAGCCGGATTTCAAAACAAAACTACAGGAGCCAAAATCCTGTACATCCCTACTTGGTGTTGAGCATGGTCAACAATGTGGACTATTCAGAATACCAAGTGACTGCTGTTTTCTGTTAAACTTCATTGTTGTTATTTAAAAAGTTTTATAGCAATTTCTATATATAAATTAATAGAAATTCTAAAGAAATTCTATAGGCCATATGTTTTAAAAGTTTATAGTAATTCTGTTGAACTTTTTTTCCGGAATTTTGTCACTCCGCCACTGTAGTGGATCATTGTGTCTATTTATTTCTGGTTCTTTCGGATATTTCCTTAGTTGAGTTTTAATGCCTTTTAGTAATTGTTGTTTATGTGCCCTGCCACCAGCGGACGTAGACTGAATAATTTTATCAATAAATTGCCAGAGTAATGATGATGATGATGTAGAAAAATT